TGGTGATTCCCAAACTTTAATACTCACTTTTTAAAATCATCCAGCTCACACAATTTTACGCACTAAAAGACAGATATAGTTTTTTTCTTAACATTCCGCATTAAATTAAAGCTTTCTTAATTACAAAGTATGGAAACAGTGCAAGTATTTCTTTTCCAAAAATGTCCAAAAAAGTCGGATTACAAGTTTGGATCTCACACTACAACTTAATTAAATTTTTCACAACTTTGTTTTACGATCTTGAATATATTATGCAATTAGAGCAACTATGAGAAGAGAGCAAAAATAAGAGAATAAAAATAACAGTCTACAAACTAACTAAAACGCGTTTTCTTTTAAAAATATTCTATTTTGCTAATAACGTGTGTCAACATTGACAAAATTTATTTATTCATTACAGTCCGTCTAATGTGTGTGATATGCTTACAAAAAAATGGTGTCTCCTGATTATCAAAATGAGCAGCTTTAATCAAAGGCATAGTGTTTTGCTTTCTAATTCTAAAGATTTACAAAATCAATAAAATTTGCCTGTGTGAGGAAGTGATTAAAAACTCAAACACTACAGTAAGAAACATTTCGAGATAGAAAAGTAATTAGCTATTTAAATACTTATTTGCATACATTAATTACCTTGTAAAGCTAATTTTTAATTGTAATAACTTTCTGCTGAAACTTTTTTTCTCTTTTTGTACTTTTCTTTATACTATACTTAATACATGTTCTAGAATTAAAATGGCTAATTAAAGTGCTACTTCCAGAAAAGTCTAAATTTTAGATTTGGTTACATCAATAAAAGCTTAAGAAAAGAAAAAGTAATTAATATTTATGCAATTTATTCTACGGTATTCGATATTAATGTAAAAGAAACAGGTGCCTCAGTTGCCGATGCCGCTCTCTAGCTTTCATAAAATGATATATTTTATTTTATTTTTATTATACAGTACATCTTACGAAAAAGTATATTTCCTTTTAAAAGTATTTTACCAGTATTTTCTTTATTTGGCGTTTAAAACTTATCAAGAAAGATGAAAAGAAAGATAAAACAAAGAAACATTATAGACATATAAAAAGGGAGGGGGAAATAATAAGTAAAAAAATAACAAACAACAGTTTAAAAAAAAAAAACAAAGAAGAAGAAAAAAGGATGAAATTTTATTTAAAAAACCGGAAAAAAAATATAATCTCTTCATCAGCCCACACGATTATATCCGCAAAACAGAGTGCTTTCTGATATTGTATCAATAAAGCCAAAGCAAAATATATTAATACAGTAGTGTGAGGAGCACTCAAAATTTTTTTATAAAAATTACAACAAATGAAATAGAACACAAAAAGTAAAACTTTTACTTTTTTTTACTTTTTGTGTTCTATTTTATTTGTTGTAATTTATATATATAATATATATATAATATATATTGTCAAATTTCGATCCATCGTTCAGCCTATTTCATTTTCCTGTATGTGTCGTATTGTTTCAACGGTTCGATCGCAAATGACAATATCCTATAATGATAATCATATCCACTTAGNTATATATATATAAATTGCGAGAGGGCCAATTTTTTAATCGAAATGGTAAATTTCTGTACAAATAAGTTACTAGTATATAAAACTGCTGAGAACTAGATGATTTTTAATGAAAGTGTCAAATGCATGCATTTCTGAATTTTATAAGAAAAAGTAATTAAACATGATACACATCTTTTCTTATTATAAGATTAAGAATAAATTTACGAGCACGCTTTTATGGCTCCAATAAATACTCGTAAACAAAGAAATTCATTGCCTTTCTTTTCCCAATTTAAAAAAAGCTCACTTTGTCACTTGCTTTGTACTAAATAATGATCTTTTTTTCCCTATTTCCTTCTAATTTATTGAAATCTTTCTCACAAAAAAGGACAATTTTATTAAAAAATTATTCTTTTCTAGTAACTACGAAGAAGGTACTTTAAATTTTGTATGCAGTTTGTTAACGTTAAAATGGAATTTTATTAATTTAGCGACTTCCATACAATGATGACAGGCGTTTTCTTTTTCCCTGTAAGGAACGAAACGTCAATTTGTTTAAAAATTTCTACCCTTAACGAATGTCATACGAAATCAATTATCGTTCTTATGAGGAAATAAATCTTTCATTTTTAATTTACTTAAAAATTCCCATTATTTAAAGCTTTGTAATATTTAATATCACTTCCTTGTTTTTATTCCTTTTAGTTCTTAGGTTTTAGTTTTCCTTGTTTTTTTAATAATGGTCATTATTTATATTTATAGATGTTTTGCTTTTTTTGTATTCAACGCCATTTAAAAGTAATTTCGTATACAAATTTGTCCTTTTTTTATATATTTTTTGTGATTTGTAAGCGATAATTGATAAATAAATTTTCGTTTGATTTTATTCTTTAAAGAGAAATATAATTAAGAAAAACCATAAATCGCAGATAAATACCAAACAAAATTAATTTTTCTAATAGAACACATCCAGTAAGTAATAATTAATGCAAAAAAAAAAGATTTTAGAAAGAAGTCCCTCACTCGTTTTTAATAAGAAAATGTATTTTTCTAATTTGTAAACGATAATTGATAAATCAATTTTTGTTTATTATTCTTTAATAAGAAACATGATTATGAAAAATCCTACATCATAGATAATAAAAAATTATTACTTAACAAAGAAAATAAATTTCTCTATTAGTACATATTCAGTAAGTAATGTAATGTTTAATGCAAATTAAGATTTTAGAAAGAAGTCACTTACTCGTTTATAATAAGAAATGGAACAACAAGTTTTAGTTATTGAAATAAAAATGTTATTGTTCGTTTTTAATGCCTAATTTAATTATCCTTATATAAGTGATTCTGTATTAACAGAATCACCTATATAAGGATAATTAATGAATTTAAAGAATTTAAAGAATTATTTTCAGCAGAGAGCAAATGAAAGAAATTAAAAAAAAAATTTAAAATTTGAAAATATAATTGAATTGAAAAATTTATTGATATGAAAGAATATTTTAATGAATTATTCGCTTACATTTTCAGAAATAAATTCAGAGATTGAACCAATAAATCAATAAATATAAAAAAAAATTAAATTAATAAATCTTAACATTTTTGCGTAAAGTTTAAATATTTAATGTGATAGTGTTTCTTGTAAAAGTGTCACGAAGCAACATTTAATCATTAAGACGTTTCTTAATGATTAAATGTAGGTAAAAACAAATAACGTAATTCCAGTAAATAAAACCAATTAATTACTCTTTACCTAAAATAGTAATATTTATTTTATATTTTCCAATGCATATGTATATTTCTATTAAGTTCATACTCTAATAAATATTTTCGAAGGCTACTTGGAAGAATACCTGTATATCATTATTTAACATTTATTCCTAATATTACCTTCTTCTTTTATCTTTAAAACGAGAAAAAATTACCCAACCAATTTATGAAAAAAGTAGTTGTAATCTAGTATCTAAACACTTCGTATATGTCAAGAGGAAAAGATTTGTTTCTTACAAATTTTACTGAATGCTAAATTTTTGATGATGCCCCTTTCATTTTGTTTCAGTTCTAACTCAGAAATGCAGTGCATTAAATTGATTTCCGATAAGCAAGTTGTTGTCAATTGCAGGTGTTTTAAACTACACTGTAATGCTTTTCATGATTTCGATCGACTCAACCATTTTTTTTTTCTTTTATGAGTATAAACGAAGTAAAAAGGATACAAGTATTTGAAAGAATATATTAAGAAACATTTTTTTATCTATAGATAAAAAACAGTCTCGATTGTGTATAAACAGCAATATTATGAATCGTTATTTTTGTATTCATTTATCTTAATTTAACTAAAAATAAATTTGTAAATTTGTAAAAATATATTTGTTTTTAAAATTTAACTTCGTTGTGAAATGCATATTTAATTTTTTTTCCAATAAAGATGTAACCTGTCATTTTTTTTTAAACACATAAAATAATTTTTACCTTAATTAAATTTATACTGCATTTTGCTTAGACATTTTGTAGCCAACTTTAAACTTCAGACTTGACCTCAAACTTTCAGAAACTTTTGACTAATAATGTTTTATATATAGTGCTATTAGATTAATTTAAAAATTTAATCACAAAGTATAAATTCAAAATTTTTATAAAATTCGACATTTTTTATACAATCTGCAAATAAAAGATACATATTTGTATTATTGGGTGTTAATCATTCGAAATTTAACAAAACCACTGAGCAAAAAGTGGGGTAAAATTGCCAAAGTATGTTAAAATTTAGCGTTTTTCGGACTATAGGGGAACACGGCAATTTTTCCTGAAGCACTTTGGCAATGATTTTTGTAAAATTAACAAAAAAGGGCTTTATTTGGCGAAATAGGAGAAAAATTTGTCAAAGGTGGAAAACTTCGGTAACTTTCTCATGAGTTTTAGAGCATGGCATAAAAATCATTCAATCGGTAAAATTTACTTTTCAGTTTAGCATTTTTAACTATTTAAGCATTTAAGCATTTTTAACTAAATGATAATAGAATTTCTGGTATTTGAATACTTCATTTTGTCATAAGTACAAGAAAATATAATAAATGATACTTTTAATAGCGAAAATAACAATAACGAAATATATTTAATATTTGCAAAACTCGTATTTCATTAAAACTAGAAATAAAGATCCGAAAATAAAAGATTCGAAAATTGTCAAAACCGTCAAAAAATATTCGAAAATTGTATTTTTTGTTTAATTATAATGTAACATCGTATATAGTTTATTATGATAAATTATAATGCATAAACTGGCATAGTTTAAACAAAAGTTTAGTTATTGAAATTCAGACTCCTCTTTTATTTAATTACTGATTGATACTGATTAATTAGTGCAGTAAAGCTTCAGAATTCAAAAACGAAATGTAAACCTAGATATTTAAATTTAATACCTTACAGTAAATTAAAATGTCAATAATTTTCAACAACATTTTGGCTTCATACAGTTATGAAACTCAATATAAATTTTGTAACATTTATTAAAATCCTTTTGTACAGAATATCACAAATTCAACATGATTACTTCCACTGGAATTTTAATTAATGCCTCACAGACGTAATCATGCATTAATCCAATACATCTGCATATTTGGCTGATAAAATCAAGATTTCGAGGAAGAAAACTTTTGAAGAGGAAATTAATAAGCTCCCATATCAGACTTCCCATTTCCTAAAATGGAAAAAAATTATTATAATTTAAATATGAAGGTAATTGTAATATGTAATAAAACACATTTCAAACTAAATATTTGATAAATATTGATAAATGTTTGAGTTTATATAAACAAATATGAAGTTAGTTTCATGCAAAATAGATTTTTTTTTGTTTTAAAGCTACACTCTGTTGGAATTTTCATTCTAAAATTACAATAAAATTTCCGGCAGCAGTCTGTCCATCAGATTAAAATTTATGGTTGAAAATATTTTTTACCTATACGGGTTGGAAACAGTTTAGAACTGGTACAGTCACAAACTACTAGAACTGTTACCGTGGTTACAAAACTACTCGTGTTTGTAACCATTTACAACTAGCATAGTTTCTAAAACTTAACGGGACATTAGAGCTCTGTGGATGCTGGGTCATTTATGCGTGAATGATAGTTTTACTCTAATAGACCTGGATTCTGGAAATACCTCATGTATAGAAGAAATGAAATGCACATAGGTTTGAATGTAACGCTGGGATTTGAACTCCTATTTACCCGGTCATGAGATTGCGAGATTAGCCTTCTCAATATGGACAATATATACCCTGTTACATGGAGCAAAATGGCTTTATAAGGTGGGCCTAACTGGTGCGGATGGAATTCTGATTGTTTATCCGTATTATGAAGAAAAAAAACAGTCAATAAACGCTTTTCTTCACACTTAACAGTTTTAATATCATCTTCCTTATGGTTATTTGAATGTTTTGGTCGGCTTTTTTTTTAAAGTCCTCCAATTAACACAGTAAATATATTTTTGGAAGTGAAAAATGCGATTGTATGTCGTAGTTTGTTTTGAATATCAATCTGCGATTTCTTCTTAACAAACATTTAGATTTATTATATTATGAATATTTAGATTTTAATATTGACAAGCTAAGGATAAGAGGAGGTATTTCAGGTTCGACCACTATTATTTTACAATTAAGAGAAAAATAAGATAACACCTTATACCTTTTTTTAACATCAAACTGTGAATTTTTCTTTCCAAATAATTAGATGATTATATAGTGTAACTTCTTACTTAAATAGGATATAGTTCATACGTAAGTTGACACGAGGATATTTTTGGTTCGGTCACTATTTTTCTAAAATTAAGTGAATAATGAGATTACTTTTGTAGTTTATTTTTAACATCAAGCTGTGAATTTTTCTTTCCAAATAGTTAGATGATCATCTAGTGTAACTTTCTACTTGAATAGGATATAGTTTATACACAGGTTTACACGGGTATATTTTAGGTTTGGTCACTATTTTTTTCATAATTAAGTGAAAAATAAGATGACGTGTTGCAATTTATTCATTGGTTGATATGGGGTATTTATGTTTAGTTAATATTCCCCCATAATTAAAATATGAATAAATCCTAAATAGAGTATTTATAGTGAACACCAAGAAAATTTTAAAAATATTTTAAATGGTTTATGAATTGTAATAAGACACTTTGAAGTAATGATTTTTTTTATTTCAATTATTTTATTAAAGAGGCATGTTTTTCCTCTGAATGAATTAGCATCATTACAAGCTATATATTTTTCACTTAAAAGCTACTGCTGCTCATTCACAGCAAACGAAAAGCTTTAAATATATTAAACATTATTTGCTTAAATAGTCCTTTCAATTATTACCTAGTGCATTATTATTAAAATATATACATCAGTGAACCTGATATCAATAATTTTCGTGAATATAACAGTAAACTAACTATGAAAAAAATTCTTAAAATTACTATTTTAAGCATATTATGTGGTAAAATAACATAAATATATATTTCTTTAATTTTTAAAAGCGTTTTGTTGTGTCTCATATTTACAATAATACCAGTAACATTACCTCTTCCAAATGAAATCAGTCTAAATTTTATCATTTGTTTATGCAAGAGCTGTATGCTCTACGGACCACCTTTTATTGCTTTCGTAACAAGTGGCTTCATATGTTTTCCCTGTAAAAAAATAAGTAGTATAAGAAAATAAACTACATGTTTTTATGAATATATATTAAATAGAATAATTCTATCATTTTCTTAAAATCATTCATATTAATAAGGATATTTTTATTTAGTGTTTAATTGCTAAAGCTCATGATGAAGTGCGTTGTATACATATCAGAAAGAATTGCAAAGTAATTTCCATTTTTCTAATGAGAAGATAAAATTCCTTTTTTGTAGAATTTCAACAGAGCTTTTAAAATATGCAGCTGCATTTGCATTTTCAAAAAATTCTAAACATTTAAAAGCTGATAAAATTATATTTTAATACAAGTGTCGAAAAAAAATTTCAAATGCAGCCAACACACTGAAAAAATTCCTTACTGAATCACGGTTAAAATGTTCTACTAACCTGAGTGCAACACACAAAACATCCATTTAAACATAAAATTCAGTTTTATTATAAAATTACCTATCTTACTTTTTTCTATAACATTTATTTAATTACAGTGATTCAGTGATTTTAGAGTAAATATTACGGTTTATCAGATCATTTGTTTCATAAAATTTTACGATTAAAATTACTAGTGCAGGTGCTTTCATAATTTGATCCGTAATTTTTTGCAGCTCATGACTAACATAAAACGCCACTATAGGTACTTGATTAAGTAAAAAAAAATATTCGATGCAAAGCCAATATTGTTTGTAGTTAGTCCCTTTATGTGCCTATACATTTCCTTATTGAAAGGTAGAAGCTATGTAGGTTTGACAAAGTATCTAGGTTTGAAACAATAAAATTTAGATAGCAAGTTAGCACAGAAATCCAAAAATCACAGTAACATTTCAGTCATCAACATACGCTATTGACCCAGAAATCCAAAAATTTTAAAATAGTGAACATTTTGCTACGTGAAATGTTTGATACGAAAAAATGGGTAGGTGGATGTACACTGTAATGAAGCAAATATACTGATTAGTACATATGTGACCCAGATTTTATGCTTATGGTTTACATACACAGTCTATCACATTCTGTTTCTGACTCTCTTGCTTCTTCACAGATCACTTGATCATTTCGTGATTGAAGGGTATATAATAACTCAGCGCCTTCGGAACCTGAGCTTGAGTCCCTAGAACAAAAGAGTAAAACAGTTTTACTATTATTTTCAAAGAAATAAATATAATATATGCAATAATACGAATAACATGCATAATAAAAAATTGGCAAACTTAATTTTAAAACGATTTAAAAAAATAAATTGATTTTATTTTAGTGATGCAATAATTTCAGAATCCATTTTATCGAAAAAAAATTAGCGATTTTTCTGTTACTGTATTCTTGTTGAGATTCTTATTGTATAATGAATAAACCGCATAAAGCACAAGAAATACTTGTTTGATTAAAAAAAGGAGACAACAAGGAAGGAAACAGTTTTAGAATTATTATGCTAGTAAAAATGGCCATGTTAGATATAAAATATTTTTGAAAAATTTATTTTAAGATTGATTTGAAAAAACTAAGATTTTATGCAGGAAATGTATTGTTAGAATTAAAAAAATAATTCTAACATCAAAAATCAAACTGTACAGTATTTTAATGATGTAAATCTTTCCTTTATATGGTAATGTTTTCCAGTCAATACAAAAATTAAAAAAAATGTTGACCGCATAAATGGTTTTTATGCCATGCTCTATGGTATCATGATAAAATGACCACAATCACAAAATTTTATCACATATTATAAAATTATAATTTATTGTTAATTTTACCAAACTCATTACGAAAGCACTTCAGTAAAAATTACCGAGCCTTTTGATGAACCCATAGACCCAAAAATACGATAACTTTTACTACATTCTGGTATTTTATACAATATTTTTTTCCTGTGTGTGTCTAATGACGTAATAAACATTGCATGAAGCTCAAATAAGTAAGTAAATATAGCGAAACTGTAGTTATAATGTTATAGACAAGAACCTGATCTCAAAATTGTCCTATACCACAGTACTTGCTATTTTACTATTCGTTTGCCACTTTAACATTTTTATTTGCGCAACATAAATTGTCTCCTAATTAATATCAATAATTTCGAAGCAAATTAAACTTTTATAACAGTATGAAAAATATTTTCATCTTCACCGCTGTTAATAAAGTAGACAATATGCAGGGTTATAATTGAACCGCAAAATTTTATTCATATTTTTTTTACAAAATAAATAGAAACGTTTTTAATTTGGAAATTTTAAAAAAAATTTAAACTTGTATCTGGATTTAAAAGTTTTTATATTTGTATGCTTTGTATTGATAAAATTTTAATTAAAGATGCATACATGTTTAAAAAAAAATTAGTTCGTTGTAAAAATTTAGTGTATGTTTTTAAGTATACACAAGAACATAAACTATCATTTGAATATTATAAATTGAAAAAAACTACCTTTGCTTTTCGTTTCCAATTAAGTGAAGTCATATTTGGCTTAAATATTTACGAATTTAACTATCCTCATATCAAGGAAACTTTCTTACATACTATTTTAAATCCTTAAAATCTATTTACATAGAAAAATTTGGGCTTGGTTAATTAATGAGAAAATTAGTTAATGTGTTTGTATGCATTTTTTAACTCAATATCTAGGTGTGTTTAATTCACTGTGTGAACATCGAAATCAATCATTAGATAAACAATTTTAATTTATATCCTGATTTAGCTAAAAGTGATGTTTATTTACCCATCACCCGATTCTCTCCAAAGTCTTGCTGTGTTGTGAACTTTTAATCTTGCTCTATCTGGTTCTTCATAAATAGGATGCTCTCTTAGAGTTTGCATTTCTATACCTGCAAAAATAGTTAAATTTTCTTTAACGCTATTATTTTGAAAAAAGAAATATTATTGTGAAATGTAATTCAAAGTTAAATTTACTATAAAGGACTTCTATGTTTAACATAGATTATTGTAAAGTTTTTAAACTCTATAAACTACGTAAAATTAAGTTTGCTTCTCTAATAAGATCAAAGTACGCTACTAAAATCTCAGAAATCAGCTAAAAATTGTTCTTACACTGTATCTTGACACATAATTTGTAAAGTAATAAAAAAAATGAAAAACAAATGAAAGGAAATATGAACTTATTCAATGATAAGGAAGTAGTTGTTTGAAAACTATCAGATTCATTTCTATTTTTTAACACTTTATTAAAAAAGACTCACACATAGACAAAATCAATGCCAAAAGATATCTTATAAAAACCATTGCCAGTTTAAGATCCGGACATTTCAGGGGCATGAAAATCAACAAAGGTGGAGTAAGAATTTTTCGACCTTGTAACAATTGCCCTGATACGCCACTAACTCCTTTCCACGTCTTAGACTGACCTGCAATTTCATGCCCCCTGGCTCCCCTTTGGGAATTCTCTCCATTTGACGTAGAACGACTCCCTTCGAACAAGATCACCGAGATTGCTGCCTATGGGCTTTCAACCCATGGGAATATCTAATCTTCACTGCACACGACGACACCACCAACACTTTATTAAAATGTTTCATGCGCTATTTCTTTTACTTTAACAAAATGTTGCACCAAAAACTATGATAGTGAAATAATGTCTTACTCAAACAATTTAATTAGTCAGCAATCAGATTGATGAACTTTATAAAATTTTGAAATAAAAGATTTTATTACTTTTATCTTAAACTGAACATCTAAATATAGTAGCTGCGAAGTCCAAAGAACAGATATGTATACAATTCAAATTACTCCTCTGAATAAAATTATCACATTAATGAATGTTTACACTTTATTTAATCCATAATATTTTCATATGAGAAACATTAAACATAAACATTTGGAACGGTCATTTAAGTATAACACTTTTCAACTCATCAAGCAATACCAAATATTTTTGAAGATATTATGTCTTACTTAAAAAGTTGAAGATTCTTCAAGAAAATTCTGGAAACAATTTTATATTGTTGAAGGAAAACCTCATATATTATCATCACACCGTCATTGCAAGTTTTACATGGAGCGCAATAGCATACGCTAAATTTGCCAAATACTATATAAGAAGAAATATTAATAAAAAATTTGAGGCGGGATGTAAACAGCAATTAATCAAAAATCAATACGATTCTCCCAATTGTTTTTAAAAATATATACAATTTTTGTTAGCTTAGTGTGTTTTATAAAGTTGTCTTCATGAAGTTTCTGCCTGAAGATTATTATCAATATCTAGGTATACTTTTAAATAGTTATAGAATTTTTTTATAATAAAAATTATTATTTTCTTTCAGATTTTGTTACACAATACATACAGCAAAAATTCAAATTAAATATTCTTTACCTGTTTGTCTGTATCCTGAAATGTATATCATTGGAGATTCGTAAACACATTCAGCTTTTTCAGCCTAAAATTGCAAGATAAGCTTGTTTTGTAATTTGAAACGGATAAACAATCTATTCATTAAAATGTCAGAAATACTTTTATGGTTTATTTTTTTCAATGAAATATCAAAGTCAACAGTTATTCATTAGACTAATTTTAGCTACCGTCAACAGTGCTCTGAAATTGAATCCCTTATTCTTCGAAGAAAATATCAATTTAAAGAGAACGTTTTTTTTTCGCTTCATTTTAAACTCGAATATATTTTTTTTTTAATTTTTTGATATTGTAAATGAGAACAAGCAAAGAAAACGATGTCAAAAATCAATACTTAATATTCATGCAGATTCTTCGAACATAAAAATGGTATCGAAAAATTGTTAAATTAATTTAACAGAAGTAAAATTAAGTTTTTTGCAATTAATATAGCTTTTTAATATGTATAATACTCACACTGCTATACAAACACTGAAATAAGGTCTGAAGAGCAGTCATTCTAAATTTTTAATTGTAAGTCCATTAGATTATGCCATAGAGGTCCTTAAACACGAAAAATACTACTAAAATAAGTTATGTCACCGTCATTACATCATTTTCTTAAAAATGATCATAATTGCACATTCATTTGTTCAAAAGAATTTGACGTTATTGTAGTTGTTTTTTCCTAGTTTTTTCATGATCTTTTTCGAACATTTATTTGGCGCTGCTCAAAGTTTCAAACCGAGGTTTAAGTCCTTTTTTTAGTTTCTAACAACAGTTATATTTCTTAATTATTTCTCTAGCCCTACCATTCGTAGTAGGAAATTCATTTCTTATCCAGTTACTTTAAATTTATGAATTATTTACTTTTTTCTTCAATTTTTATCGTATTGTGCTAATGTCATTTGTAAATTGTTGTGGTTCAAGTAACTAAAGAAAACAAGCAAAGGAAAACCTTTCAGTGATAAAATGAAAGCACTTTAAAAAAATAAGATCAATTAAATTAGATTTTTAATTTCTTTTATAAATAAACTGAAATTTGTTTCGCATTCAGATTAATCTGTTAAGAAAAGGAAAATAATGAAAATAAAATTTGCCCTTGAAGTTTTCAGACATTCGCGCGAAATTCTGAAAATTGATAAACTTACTCGACGGATTTGATGTGAAGAACTATAATTGAAGCTACTTCTTATGCTCCCAAGCGTTCCAACATTTTGTTCATTATCATTTCCTGGAAGAATACAATGTTTTCTGTTGCCTCCTGTGCCCCGACTAGAAGCGTATGGAGTTGGTAAATAAGTTGGCTCATGTGTAACATCGTAAGTTACAGACAAGGGAAAATTTTCAGATTTGATGGGATCTCGATTTTCTCCATCAGCTAAAAAGCACACAAAATACGTATTATTGCATGTTAATATTTGTGTATGTTCAACAAAAACACTGTAAACAATTCCGGATCTAATTCCGGTAAAAAATATTTTTTTTTCCAAATATTTAAATTGAGTAAAAACGTCAAAGGAAAAGAACTGCATTTCAATATCTCCTACGTACTCTCACACATTTATGAGCCTCGTATGACCGTAAAAATAGGCTTTTAAAAATATTCATGAAATAGGTAATTACACTGTAAAAATTCCGGAATGAATTCAAGTAAAAGGTGCCGACACTTAGAGTACTGGTACTATTTGCCGTAAAATCCATTTTTACCGGAACATGTTACGGAAAAAAAGGTTTATGGTAAACCGTAATTTTTACAGTAAGTTATCGTGAAATTGCTAAATCACTCTAATTAAATAAATATTACTGTAAAAAATACGGTACAATATTTTACAGAAAAATTAGATTTTACGGATGCTGCACCTAAATTGCCTGTACTTTATTCCATAATTTGATTCGTAATTTCTAACAGTGTACTTACCGAAAATAGATAATAGGGAATATGCAGATGATACATTTTTAAGAAGCTCGGGATTTATTTAAACACATTCTAATCGTCATGTGCAATAGGTAAGTCAAAGGTGAAGAAGGTTAATGCGATTAAATAAGTTAAGGATATTAGAAGAAATAAAATATTATTTTATAACAATGAATGTAAATGGACATTATAGTAATTTTTTATGAAAATCTTGAATTTCTCTAACCAATAGAATAAAAGAAGCTTCTGGAAATATAAAATTTAAAAAAATATATTCAAATGATTAGGAAAATTTAAAAGACTATATTTTTTTAAATAGTAAGCTATAAATTTTCCATTAATTTTCTTTTAAAAATATTACTTGATTTTTTTACTTTCTATAAGATATTGTTACTTTCTAGACAAGGAATAAACTGGTTTTAAATAAGTAATGGTATAGAAAATTTTACCAACCATTTAAATTTCTTGCATTATCTGATGAGCGTCGTCTCGTAATGAAACACACCGCGCAGAGAACCACCATCAGAACTATAATTGAACTTAACACTGGAGCCGTTATTGTCAAGTGACGATAAAGTGATCCACTAATATCACTTACTTTTGAAGGCCTTGGAGGATATTCTATTAAATTCAAAATTAAAAACATTTACTTCTTCAAATATATTTCAATCATTGAACATAAAGTATAAGCTAACACGGAGAGAAAAAAATTCTGGCAAAATAACCGTACTGTATGGTATTGACATTTCTGGTTAAAAAAAATATAATTATTTTTTATAAAACTAAAATATAAGGTATTAAAATATTACATTTGATAGTTGTTCTACTCATATGGTAATAGTTAACAAGAAATTCTGGTTTCACAAACTTTGGATCTTATTGCTATACATGTAGCAAAAAATACAAAACTGGAAAATAAATTTAACTGAATAAATGGTTTCTATGCCATGTTTTTTTTCTTCGTATGCCTGTTTAGGCAGTGGGGTTACGATTGCTCATGTCTTTCAGTGGCGCCATCTATGGTCAGGAATTCGACTTCTGCAACGCCATTCACACAACCACAACCCGCTTATAGGGCGGGTCTCATTCACACACATTCACACACAAAATAGAAAAGACATAGAACACACACAGAGAGAAAGAAACATCCATGCCTTGTCCTGTATTCGAACCCAGGACCTTTCTGGTGCAAGGATAGCTCCCTACACAGGCTGGTCGGCTCTATGCCATGTTCTAAGGCAGTATAATAAAACTAGCAAAATTTACCATATCTGCCAAATTTTATAACAGATAAAAGAATTTTACCAAAATCATTACCAAAGAACTTCGGTAAAAATTACTGGTGTTCCCATAGTGCCAGAAATACAGAAAATTTCAACATAATATTCTGATGTTTTGACGGTACTTTTTTTCTCAGTGTAGAATGTGAAAACTGTCTATATATGAGCAATTTAAATAATATTTACCTCCTGACGGTGTTAAAGTAGCAAAAATATACTCTGCATCAGTTGAACCGGCATCGTTTTTCGCAGTTATCAGCATTGAGTACCAAGAACCAGGACTCAAATCAGTTATTGTGATATTCCCTTGCTCCGGGATAATATTGTTGCTAACTAAAGTCCATTCTTGCAGACCATTCGGCTTGTACTGGATTATGAAAACACTGATTGGACAACCTCCGTTATGCCAACTGTTTAAATTAATATTTACTGAGGTCGAGTTTACCGAGAGCATGAGACGTTTGTCAGGTGCTCTAGGTGCTGCAAAAAAGATGATTGAAATGTTTTTAAAAAGTTTATTTTTATATAAGTCAAAAAAAATGTTGAAATAACTCAGGACTTGTGATAAAAAATGGTTGAAAAGTAAATTATTAAATGTATTGTCTATTATCTACCCTTTCCTAATTTCTTAGGCTTACCTTGTATGGACCTTAATATCTTACTTTAACATTTTTCTTGTTACTTTAAGGTGCAATAAAATTTTGTTTCCTTGTAATTTCAAATTTTTTTTTACATATTTCACATGAGTGTTTATTCAGTAAAGCACCAAATAAGCATTTTCAAATATTCCAGACCATAATATCTTACTTTAAGATCGTCCTCGCCAATTTAAGGTGCAATAAAATTTGTTTCATTGTAATTTCATAAAAAAGTATACACTTTTTTGACATGGGTATTTATTCAGCACTGTACCAAATAAGCATCTTCAAAGATTCCAGCAAATTAGGTTGAATCCCCCGTAAAACCAACTTCACCTTGAAATCCATTTTTGCCTAAATTTTTACTGCATTGGTTTTTTTATTAGAGTAATTCAGTGATTTTACGGTAATTATTACTGCAAAGATTAATGAATATCAACGTTTTTGCAGCATAACATGTTAAGGTAAAAATGAAATTTACGGTAAAAAAAAACTGCTCCCTGATCTGAAAGTTCGGAATTAAGTTACAGTACTTTTTACTGTAATTTTATCTGGAAATTTTCACAGTGTTGAGATGCTTAGTTTAATGTTAATATGAGCTGAAAAAGGTACGGGTTTTTATTCGTAGAAAAAAAAATTAAAGATCAATTCAAACGCTGCGAAGGATTCCATTAAAATTAATTTTACTAAATTCAATTATAATGTCCCGCTAAGATTGTGTTATAACTCAATATAAAATACGCTTTAATAGAACAAATTTAGAGATTCGTTATGAAAGTTTGGGAGCTTGTACTTATGATACTCGATTATTTTTCAAGAAACCCATTTCTTTTATTTTAGCTAGGGGCTGAGAATGAGCCTAAAGGTATATTTTCCTCTCTTTTTTTTTGACATACAAATTCTTTTTATAATAGATTTTACATCTCGGGAGAGCGTACGATTTCCGATTTTTCGTTCCATATAAAAATATAAGAGTAATGGATGCTTCCATACTTTTTAGCTACATCCTGTGAAGACATTGATAAACGATAGTAATATATTTCTTTATATCCAAATCATCCTCTTTCTTCAGTACTAAATCCCAGTACAAATCCCATAAGTGACTCAGACGAGAATTGTTCTTTTCTCAGAATCGAGATAAGAATAAGAGAATATAATATGAAACTCCTTTTATTTTATAACCTAGTTTCTGTTCTACGATATTCGAAATAAGCTTAAGTGATGTATTGCGAGTGAAGTTTTTTTTTTATTCGATTTAAGGATTTAAAGACAAATCAGTTCTCCGCGATTCCAGTTATTTATAGTTTCAGGAATTACTTTTTATATTATATTAAGAAAGTATTTTGTTCTTATCTTCTTAAAATTTATATATAACAAAAATGAGAGAAAATAAGAATTAGGCAATTTATTGAAAGTTTCTGTTTTGTGTTAGATATTAGCAATATTATCGGTCATTTCTTTATTATTATACTGCACATTTCATTTAAATGTTTTGAGAATATTCTCAAAATATTTACAAGGTATATTTAAATATGATTCAAAAATGTACTCTGTCCTTTTCTTTTTACATCATTGCAATATTCATTGAAATGTTATTGAATTAGGGAAGCATAATGCTAAAGAAAATGTGAAGTGCAAGTGTTGTTCGTACGCGAGGGTTATAATTTATTTTATTTTTTTTTAATTTCATAATGCGTGTATCCCTTATTTCTGTTTTATATCCGGCAGTTATTCTCAGTTTACAGCTATCAATGTTTAACTCCGTAGCCTTGTAATTTCGAAGCCCAACCAGACGTCTTGGATGACGGATCTCACGGATTAAGTTCTGAGACCGATTAACCTTTGAGGAAAAATTTTCGTTTTAACGAACCGAAATATACTTTACATGGAGAGGAAAACCCCGAAAACTTTCCATTGTTAGTCCGACGGCATAGGAATTCGATACCAGGATCCGTCTATTACTGAGGATATTTATATCTAACACTGAGCACCCGGCTCAGCCCCGTGATCAGGGTGAACTGGTAAACAGAATTTTTAACAACCAGCCACCGCTAGGATTCGAACCTGAGCACACCTCTCTCCCCTGAACCTCAGCGGCCACGTGAGGGTAATACGTTAAATTTATTCGCAGCTATCATTTTATTTGTTTTTATTAACACTAGATTGCCTAAGGAAATCATTTTGACTGCTTTTAATTTCAATTCGAGGAACAATGATGTATATAATGACACAATTTCTTAGAATTTTGTACAACATATAATTTTTTTAGTGTTAATATTTACTAATAACTTGTTATATAACTGTAAATAATATAAAAACATTAAAAATTAGTTTTAAGCAAATTTCTTTACACATTATTTACACTTTTATAATTCAGTCATTTTGACTGCTTTTGGGCAATATAGATAGACTAAATTTCAGTCTAGTGTTAAGTGAATTCAACAGTCAACATAGGTACAAATTCTAATTCAATCACTCTCGGCATGGTTGCACTTAAATTCCATTGATATGAACCATCGAGAAACTAAAATTTTCATTGTCGAACAATATTTCAATTATATCAAAAATATAGTTAGAACATACGGATGCTGGGGAGAAAATTAGCAATCGGGAAAATTAGCAATGCATTTAGCCTTGAACGAGCTTGGTGAGAGGCGGCTCAGCTGTATTTCTGTCCAACATAAGGCAAACCTTAGTTCAACATACCACTAAGCAGCAATCACTGAAGTTGACGAGGAACCAAAATTCAATTGCACTCTATTATGAATGAATACTTCAAATAATATTCCAAATGAATTATACAAGTAATTTTTTTTCTGTGTGTGCTTTTCGAAAGATGTTTCCTCAACGAGTAAAATTCGAATTTTTAATGAAATTTTTAACCTGTGAATCTAAAAACGAAACATTCAGGACTTTAAATAGTTTCTCTAGAAAAGCGTTCAATGAACATTTGTGATCGTGATATCTCGATGAAAAAAATTTTTTACCTAAACTTCCATAACTCACTACCTCGAATTTTTTAATTTCAAATTTTTAGTATTTTTCAATTAAAAAAATCCGCATAAAATTCATTTAAACCGTATAAAATCCATTTTGTTATAGAATTCATTTTCACCCCAAAATATTATAACAGAAATTTAACTGTTATATTAATTTAATAAGGTATTTTATGGTAATTCAGTTAATTTATGGTAATTCAGGTAATTTATGGTAATTCAGGTATTTTATGGTAATTCAGGTATTTTATGTTAATTCAGGTATTTTATGTTAATTCAGGTATTTTATAGTAATTCAGATATTTTATGGTAATTCAGATATTTTATTGTAATTTATTGCTATAAAAATCACGATATATCTAAGTTTTTGTTCTGTATCATGTTCCGGTAAAAATGAATTTTACTGTAAAAAGTACCGGCACCCTTAGTTGCGATATTTTTTTATCGTATTTTTTTCGGAATTTTTTACACTGCATATTTAAATTAGAAATATAAAAAAATATATACAAATGACTTCCCGACCCACTAAAATAAAAGGGAGCTATGAAACATGTGACTCAAGTGGAAAATCATTTGTATAAAATTCTGTCAACACAATCATATATTTCAAATGAAACTTTTAAATAAAATACGAAATTTTTAATGAGTATCAAATTGAAATACAAAATAATATTTTATACTTACGACCACCGTCTGTTTTTGCTGACATAATATCACTATTATTCCCACTACCAGCGCTATTGAAAGCAACGAGATAAAAAGAATAACTTGTTCCACATTGTAAATCATGAAGAGTATAGGATGATTTTTCGCCTGTTAAATGTGTTTCTGACCATTCCTGACCATCCATTTTGTAGTGTAATATATAACCTAAAATATTTTACAGTAATATGGTAATATAATATACAATAAATGGTAACATATAACCTAAAATATATTACCATTTGAAGTTAACGAAATCCAAGAAAAATTTTTAATGGAATGAGTGTTCAAAAGTCAAATCTAGACATAATACTCAAATCTAGATAAAATTTTAAAATAAAATAAGTATTTGCTGATCTTTATAATGCTAAAAAAACAAACGCATTTTAAGAAATAAAAATCGAGATCTTTTTCATCATTTGCTCTAGTTTTTTTAAATGCAAAATAATAATAATAATAATAATTAGTATCCTTAGTAAAATAAAAAAAGACAATTATAATTTCTATTTTGATAAGAAATTGTGTAGCTTAGTATACATTATTTTTATACATTTTTACTGACAATTACTCGGGTTTAAAAAATAAATGCTCTTTTAAACAGCATGATGTATGCTAATTTAAAAATTTCATATATGTGCCAATAATTGTTTTAGAAAATATTGGTGTAAGAAATATTTAATCTAAGCATGCCTTAAAAATACATTTAATCGTGTTCCTCATATAATACATAAACTTGAATACTTTATAATGATAAATGAAATTACAGATGATTATTTAACATTCCCTTCCTTGTCAATCAAATACCACAAAATTTAAATTTGTACTTCAAAGCAATAAACTTACGACTTGCAAATTGAGTGATAATACATTAACTAATGATTCTTTATTCGGCAAACTAGGGCAATTAATTATCCCATTGTTTTGTATGAAGGCAAATTGGAATTTTACGAAAATAAACTTTCACCGAAAGGGAGTGAAAATATTGAGTCAAAAGCAAAATTAATACTTCGTCGAAATCCATGACTATTTAATAAAATAAAACTGGTGTTTTCGACTTATATCATTTAAGCCATCTTGTTGTAGTTAGTATCTTTCCAGTTGTTTCAAATAAACGTTTATTTCGTGATTAATATTTTATTAATTTATAAATATACAATTGACTTCTTGCTATTTGTCTTACAACTTATAAAGGCTCGTTTTACAAGTTCCGGGAAAAAGGCATTAAATAACCAAAGAATTAAAAATGATAAATGATTTTTTTTCCTCCTAAGTAAACAGCTAATACTGTCTAATCAAACTTTTACTATTTTGATCTGAAAGTAAAAGAAAATAGGACGTAATACTTCTCTTTTTGAATTCTTTGTTTTTGAAACTATTTTCTTAGTATTGCATCATTATTCGTCCATGTTATTATTATTATTATTATTGATATCCTTGTATGCTTTAAAAATATTTATAAATTTTTATAATACTGTTTTTTAAAGTTAACCAGTATTTTTGGACCACTGCATATGTAAAATTTTGTATGAATAAAATATTTTGTTTAAGCCGTCTAAACTTCTAATCTACTCTTAAATGGTTAAAACATATTTTAAGTGATTTCCTTTCCTTATTTTTTAAGTACTTGACAATAAAGTGAATTGCTCAATGTCATAACATTTTAGCGCGCTTTATATTTTCAACCAAGCAAAATTTTTATGGTATTAGAAGATCAAGCACGGAACTTTACGAAGCATATAAAGAATCTGATGTCATTAAATTTATCAAAATTCAAAGGATTAAATGGGCAGGCCACATTATAAGAATGGAGGATAGCAGGACAACCAAAAAAGTTTTCAGTGCCAGGCCAACAGGTACAAGAAAAAGAGGACGACCAAACCTAAGATTTTTTGACTGCCTTGAAAAGGACCTACAATTCTTAAAGATAATAAACTGGAGAACCTTGGCTAAAGGAAGAATGTCTTGGCATAGGCTTGTTGAGAAAGCCATGGCCCATCCTGAGCTGTCGTGCCAATGAGAAGAAGAAGAAGTATTTTTGGACCACATCATATGTATAATTTTGTATGAATCAAATATTTTGTTTAAACCTTCTAAACTTCTAATCTTCTCTCAAATGGTATAAACATTTTTTAGTGATTTCATTTCCTTATTTTTTAAGTACCTTATTTTTAGAGTAAATTGCTCAATATCATAACATTTCAGCACGCTTTATATTTTCAACCAAACGAAATTTTTATGGTATTACGCAATTAATATTTTTATGTCACAGAAAGTTACTTTACTTATTCAACGTACCTGAAACCGGTGCATTATGATGAATCCTGGGGTCCCAAGACAACTTCAAAGTTCTAGAGGTCGCAAAGTAAGTACGTAATATTGGGGCACTTGGCCTATCTAAAAATCATTTGATTTTATTTACTAATATTGGTAAAAATTTAAGGGAAAATGTTTTGAAATCAATGCATACTGCATACATGTCAAGAAGGTAATTTATAAAAACTTACCGAATTCTAATGTTCGTACATACACTTCTTCTGAGGGAGGCCCGGCTCCTCGACTGTTATAAGCTTGAACTACTATACTGTATTCTGAATTACGGTTTAAATCTGTAATTGCAAAATGGTGTAAATGACCCTGTTGATAGCTCGTTGGTTTAAAAGTATAAGGTTCTGGATTTCTCGAATTCTTGTAGCCAACATAAAATCCATCCATGCTGCTTTTCCCAGTTTCCACGGGAACCTGTAGATTAAAAAATTTACAGTAATACTTTTTGTTAAAACCTTTGAATAGATGAGAGTCTATTTAAAGTCAGTGGAAAATATTTGTCACGTAAGAGTTGAGTCAATTCACTCGTCTAGAAGTTCATTCAAATTAGTGTCCAAATTATAATTCCTTCCAAGTTATCTTAACTTGCTATCGCAGAAGTCGAAAAAAACCATGATGAAATTCAATACTTTATAAGTATTTTAGTTCTTAGTAATAAGTAGTTTAATTATTTATAGTTCGTTTATTTTAGAGTTAATTTTTAATTTTTCATCACATATTATAAAATTTTTGTCATCCTTTCACATTTCAGTTTAAAAAAGATCTATTCAAAAACGTTCTTAAAACTATTTAAACTTGGTAACAGGAAATGTTTTAACTGACGTGCTCTTAAATTTATACATGTAGATGATAAATATACCGGTTTTGTAGATATTAATAATGCAAGTTATCAATTTATTCCCAATTTTAAAACTCCATCCATATTTTCTTTGTACCAAACTCTAAATATCTTCCTCGCGAATAAATTTGCTACTGCGAGATAAAGGCATGTTCAGTTCACTATGAAACTAAATCTCTGAATAACGACTGTAGTTTCATTTTAATTTTGAATAATATCAGGAAAAAATATTCACTCTCCTTTGAAAAATATCACTTAAACACAAAAGCCTCTCTGTCAGCTAACGTAATTTGTGTTATTATTGTTTACCCATTTGTCATTTCGACTTGTTAGAAACAGATGTATATGCATATATATGTACACTGAGGTGACATAACAAAAGTCACAGAATAACAATATACAAATACACAGATAGCAGTAGTCACGCATAAAATGTATGTATGGGTAGTGCACTGATAGGACTTTTATTTGAGTTCAAGTTATTCATCTGAAAATGTTTCTGATTTAATGTGAGATCAAGACGAGAATAAATGGATTTTAACAGTGGAATTTGTAGTAGGAGCTCGATGCATAGGAGATTGAATTTTGATAATTGGGGGGGGGGTATTCAAAATTCCTAGATCTTTAACTTAAAACGTGTCCCGAGAATATATAATTTCAGGCATAACCTCACACTGCGGACAAAATAGTGTTTAAGCGCCTACATTTAATGACCAAGACCGCCAACGTTTACTTATTATTAATTGTGTAAGCAAGTAATAATGCATTAAATAACCGCAAATATCAGTTTGGGACGTGAAGTAGACGTGTCCGATAGGAGAGTGAGACGAAATATGTATGTAATTGGATATGACAACAGAATATTGACTCGACTGACTTTATTAGCAGAACAACATAATGTTCAGCACTTCTCCCGGGCGTGTGACCATGTGGACCCTAGACGGTAGGAAAAATATAGCTTGGTCAGATTAGTCACGATATCAGCTGCCTGCTGCAGACCCATGAGGTCAAGGATCCCACGCTGTCAACAAGGCACTATACAATCAGCTGGTTGCTCCATAAGAATCTAGGCTGCTTTTTCATGGCATGAATTGGGTCTTATAGTTCGAGTGCATCGATCTTTGAGTGGATATGGTTATGTTCGGTTATTTGGAAACACATCACTTACAGCGATTAATAGATTCCATGTACCCTAACAGCGATAGAATATTTATGGAAGACAATGCGAAATGTAACCGGGCCTTAATAGTTCGTGACTTGTTTTAAGAATATTCTGGCCAATTCCAGCGATTTATTTGGCTGCTTATATTACCCGATATGAATCCCATTTAACATTTGTCGTTGTTGTCTTGCATATGGAAGTGATAAATATTCTAAAAACATCGATCATTTATGAAATATAATTGAGAGAGCTCAAAATCCTGCAACCGCAACTCTTTCGCAATTAAATATTTCTAAAGAGATTGCATGTCTCACTATTCCTCCTAGAGGCTTCCAACTACTTGTTCATGCACTTCGTATAGCTAGACACGGTATTAAGAGATATTTCATGACTTTTGCTTCATCTGTGTGTATATTAGACAAAATCTGCATTCATTTTAATAGAATTTTGTTCATATTTAAAATTTTGTATTTATATTCATTAATTTGGAGTATTCCTTTAATATACATTAAGTGGGTATACATCTGAAATTGACTAAGTAACAATATTAGCCTTATATACATGGGATGGGAAAACGAAAAAAAACAATATTAAAATGATTTTTTTCTCGGCGTTTTTTTTTCCTTCATAGTTTAGAACAAGATTCTCATACAGAAATTCCTTAACAAAAATACTTTTAGACAACTTACTACCGAAATTTCAGTTTTTCTAGGCCGCATAAGCCCTCCTGATAGTATTCCTGCGATTAGTTACAAATGACACTATTATTGAGAAACGTAACTAATAACACTTTACTGTTCGACTCTTTTCATTTATGTTTCCGTTGGAATAACTTGTCAATGTACTTACCATTGAAAGTTAAACATTATTTTCAAATTTTTTTACTAGATTTTCAGTTTAATTGTAAAATAAATTATATTTTCCCGTAGTCTTTTTATATTTACATTATAATTTTGAAAAATATTCTCTCTTATTTCATTTTCCACAACTGCTTTTTACTGTAAAACTAATTAGACCAGCCACTAGAAGACCAATAGACATTTTTTTTTTAAAAAGTGTCAGAAAAATACATGATTAATTAAATTTTTCACTCATGAATTATTTTTTAGCAATAATTCTGACATTTATCTGCATTTCAGTCTATATCTAGAAAGACAAAACTGTGAAAACATAGCTCAACGATATCTACCTCACTTTAGCAATGCAAACTACTCTCGTAAGACAAAACAGAACAACTCACTGATATTCTTTTTTAGTTTAAATTTTGTAAAAAATCAATATGCGTTAAAAATTTTGGTTTCTTTATTAAAAAAAACTGTATTGATTTATATTTCATTAACAAATTTGTTAAAACTAATTTCTTAATTGTTAAACATCTAAATTTTCTTAAAACCTTTAAAATGATGAATAATATAAAGGTTTCAATATATATTTTATACTTAATAGTGAAACCATTATTTGCAAAGGTATATCAATCGATAAAATCATTCCAATTTATAATATCAATTATAATAAATATGTTACATTTGTAACCAATTTATATTTTCTTCTCCACTGGAGGTTAATTGCGGTCAGTGTGGACATATAACTATTTGCCCCATTTAACATTTGTACCATAGCCCCTGTTTGTTTAGGCTCAATGCAGATTGAAACTTTTCGGAGCAGTAGTTAAAACTAAAATAGGTAAAAATCATATACTACCTTATTACCATTTTTTGCTGAAATTGAAATAATTAAAACTGCTAACAATAGAGTGGATAGAAAATTTAAGAGCTACTTAGCAACAAAAATTTTTTGATCACAAATTCATAGTAGAACATTTAAAGGTATATCACATAACTTCGCGTTTAAGTGCGCTGAAAATCGACAATGGACCACTCGGAATAACTTTTGATGTAATGATCGGATCTTCACGTTCCAGCAAATATTCATATTGGTTCGAAAGGGTGATTTCAAATGTGCTAATTAATTTTTGTAGACGATATTTTAATTTACGAAATCAGACACAGAAACGTACTTTCTCTGAATCGACATACCTTTTATCCAACTGATTCAATTTTCTTAACCCTAAAATGTAGGGGATAGCCGTGATCTAGGAAATATGATCCCCATTGGACAGGAGCGTGATCTAATGCATAGACCTTAATTTTGATTTTATTTTTTGCGCATTTCACCTTATAATGAGAAATTTGTAAGTGAATTGAAAAATTTTGTATACAATTATAACAATCCTTTATTCAACGATTCGATAATGATATCTCAGGAAATTTTCAACCATTTTCGGTAAATTTAGTATTGTGCAATGTAAAAGTTTGTACTTTAAAATGATGTAAAAAATTTCATATCTTAGAATTTTTTTTTTTATTATCTTATAAAATAATAATAAGTAATAAATATTTACTAATTTTTTTTTTGCATTGGATTATTTTTAGATAAACGAATTACATAATTTTGTGCAAGTTCAAAAGTTATAGGGATATAAGCAAAACTTAAAATTCACATTAAGGGCTCCAAGCTTTGGATAGCTCTCCTGACTAAACTATGGGACCATATTTCAAGATTGTGGCTACATCCTATGTTATGGGGGTCAGAAAAGACGAATCTGTTAGAAAAAAGATATGTTTATTCAAAGGAAGTGCGATTTGTGTCTGATTTTGCAACTTAGAAGATCGTCTGCACTAATTAATTAACATTTTTGAGGTCACCCTTTCGAACCATTAAAAATAATTCCTAGAACGTGGACATTTGATCATAAGATCAAAACTTAATCAAGATTGGTCCTTTTTTTGGTGCGCCTTATATATATCACTAAATAAATTTGCCCAGTACAAAATTTAGTTATGTCCACTGTAACCCCATGCCCCCTTCCCTCCAACATTTTCGGACTGAAAATAAAACTAAATAAATAAATAAATATAATAAGCATCAATGTAAAAATATTTTTATTAATAGTCAATCTATCCCGTCTCTTTACCGGGAATTTACTTTGATAGATTAGCTTATATTTTATAATAAATAACTTTTCTAGGGGTAATAAAAAATAAACAATTTGGTTACTAAGCCTAACTAGGCTTACACAAAAAAAGTTTTTTTTTTTTTTAATTTTGACTCTAGTACTATTTTTTTCGTTAAAATATTTTATCCCTGTCTTAATTAGAACAAAATTTAAAATTTTCATTGCTTTTGAACCCCTTCCTTCTTGCTCCCGTGAAAATAACGGGGTGTGATTTCGCCCGCTATTTCTCGCTGCCGTGATATTGACGGGCGGGAGTGTTCAGTAGTAACGCGCCAATAAGAATAAAACTAATTAATTTCGTTGCCCGGAAAAAATTTTATTTCTCATTTTACACCCCTGATCGCAGTACCAGGATATTTTTAAGGAAATTGTAGATAGTTAGTTTATTTTAAACTAGTTGCATCACTAACCTAATACGTAATACAAATACAAATAGGTACTTTTGTGACCGTTTTCTTGAAATTCAACCGATCGTTAAGGGGCTAAACTGTTCTCAAAGTTTGTTAACAAAACATTTTTCAAATTAGACAATACTATTCAAATTTTATTAATGCTACTAATTTTAAAAAACAATACCTCATAAAGCATGTTTTATACTCTAGAAAATAACACTTTCTTTGGAAACCCTCTAATATATTTCGTTTTTAAAATACCAAATTTAAATGCAAAACTTCTATAAATTTTGCAAGCCAATAAATAATTTTAACCATTTTTAAAATTACATCATACTAAAATTATATATTATAATAGCATCTCTACATCTATTTTGAAAATATTTATCATGCAATGACATCCCAACACTGTTAAATTCCATAATCATATAAAATAAATTATCATTGGATTAAGTCAAATAAACATTTCATTTTAATTTCCCAAACTTTTCCTATAAATAATTCTTCCTATAAATATTCTTCTATTAAAAAAAATCTCGCTATGCCCTCTATTCAACTACTTGAATCCAGATAAACAAGTCAAACTCTTGAAAAATCACCTGGATCCTTTTCTAAGCTGTAAATGAAGTACATAAATTATAAGAGAAAGCATTAATAGCAATAGGGCCATGCAAATTTCATCTTTGAGTTCTAAACATCTTTTTTTTTATTAATGGCCCTGATTTAATCATTTACGTAATTCCTACTCCATTACTAGACATCATTCTCCTACTCCATCAATATGTTGTGAAGCTTTTAGTTAAATATACATTAGCCTCTCATAAAAGATTTATAAAAAAATACCCAAAAAAATGGCGTTGAGTTTCTAATTACTGGTATCCATCAACGCTAGGAAAACTACACCCTATTGAAGATTAGTCAATATTGACATGCTCGTGCGATTTTTCTCCTTCAGGCGTCGTTAGAGCGTTAATAAGTTTAAGAGCTTAAATTGTTCTTTACACTTTGAAGATAAATAGTCTGATGCATGCATTAGAACGTTCGAAGTTATTTTAAAAGCTCATGCGATCACACGTTAGTTACATAAAAAAGGTCAATAATGTATGAAGCACTAAATAAATGTTTTTAAATAGAAAAGTTATTGATTTTTAAGAGAACCCTGGGTATAAGACTTTTTAATAATTTATTAGTTTTAAAGAAATAGAGCATGGAGTATCGATTACAAGTATTTTCCATGAAAGAAGATTGTTTTTATGTGGGGTAAACACAGCAGTACAAGAATGTTGATTTATTATTTATAATTAAAATCCTTATTAAGGTTCATGTTTAATGAATTAAGTAAATAGTTTTATTGCCGGATGAATTTCTATTTCCCAATAGAATATAGGTCCAAATGAATGCCTTATACAATTTCATAGCATTTCTTAAGTTAGATTTTTAACACTATTACTTTAAAAGAATAGTAAATGCGATAAAAATATCATTGTTTATAAATAAACTTCAAATTTATGTACTTCAATAACTAAAAATTATAGAAAGACGCGGAGAAAGAGAGAGAGAATTATTTAAACAAGCAAAACCTTTATTTAAAAAGCAAATTTATTGCTCAAACCACCTGAAAAAAATTTATCGCCCACTTTTAGAGCAAAGGAAAATAGTGTTTTAGGTCAAAAAAAGCAGTTTAAAACTCGCAGTTACCACATAACTTCAAAATTAACAATACTATTCATAATTTCATTTCTTAAAGGTAGAATTCATCTAAATATAAAATTTTGTTTGATTGGCAGATGAATCTGGTACTGCTACAATAATTATTATTAATTTTATTTTCTTTCTAATTTTTTTGCACGCATCGCATATTTTTTTTAAAAAAAATCAGTCGATAAGCAATTTTTTTACACTTTTTTTTTAAATTTTTTATTTGGTTAGAAATATACATTGCATAAAAATGTAACACTCCAGTACTCTTAATATACCTTTCATTAAAAAAAATTATATTGCTATAATTATTTAATCCATTATGTAATAATTCATATCGGTTTATAACTCGGCAATTTTGGAATACATTTACAGCTCTGTGGTTGAAAACTACTGTAATTTTATTTAAAAGTTTTTATTTAGCAAAAATACTCATTGCAAAATATAAATATGGAAACGAAAATATTTGTTGAATGAAATACGAATGAAAATACTTTTTAAAATGAAATTTACAATTCTATTTAACTAAAAAACATACATATATTTACCTGCCATGTAACATTAATAGACTTTGATGAAATAGGTTCTGCTTTCACAAATTGAGGTGAGTTAGAAGGAGCTGAAAAACATGTTTTATATAATGTGATAAAGAATTCATTTTGCTTATACACAAAGTAATACATAAGATACTTAATTCTATCATGCAATTTATCTATACATTCACTGGAAAAATTATTAGACGCACTGTATGACTATGTAAAATCTTAATTATCAGGTGATGCGCTACAACTTTAGTGTTTTTTCGCGGCTGAAACCGGTTTACACTTGCTTATGTTCGTGTAATAATTGGTTAACATTGTAATGCAATACGTTAAAAATAAATACAAATGGGAAGCATATAAAAAATCTCCTCTACAAAAACTTTTTACATTTATGTTTAAATATAAGAGTATTGTATTTGAACTCGTGCAAAACATGCAATTATTAAAACACTACAGTTCATCTAATAATTTGGTTTAATTATTGTAATATACTAATATAATACCTGATATAATAAATATTCTATATTTATATAATATATCATCTAATTTATCCAAGTGTCGAATTTATAGTATATATCATCTAATTTCACCAATTTATACACGAACGTAATATTTACTTTATTAAAGTGACTTACTTTATTACATCCTATTATTAATTAGTATTACTTTATTACATCCTAAAGAAGTAAATATAATCTTTTATAAGTACATAAATCATATAACATATTAATGAGCTTATTGTTTGTCAAACTGCTATGGTCTATTCATAATAATATTTGAACATTATTGTTAATAAAAAAAATATATAATCATATACACTATTTGTTATTATAGTATATTTTAAATATTTATGACAGCATAAGTAAGATACTGTTAGATTATGTTTAACTTATTCATCGTAACATGTGTAAAATATTTTCATAAATATTTATTATAAGACAAGTAAATATAAAAATGACGCAATGTGCAAATGAACTAATATTTGCTTTATTAAATAAATAATCCAAAAGCAAACTGAAGCGTGTAAAATATTACTTGATTAAAATATTTCATTGGATTCAAAAATATGCAGATTGAAATAAATGTAAACACGTTTGAATGGATCAAAAATAGAAGCTAATTTTCAAGACAAGCCAGACGTGAAAAAGACAAAAAAAGCAAAAATAAACAAAACTGATTTGAAGTATAAAATTTTAAATTGCTTACAAAGAATTGAAAATAAAGGTGAGGAACAAAATTAGAAAAAACAAAGTGTTGAGAATGAAGCAAAATAAAGATAAAATCTTTGGAACAGTATTCTTGATAACTGACAAACCAGACGCACTATGAAATTTAGACTTAAGGATCGCGATAGATATGCCCGTTATCAAGAATGCGATAATTCATAGATTGTTGCACATTGTTGGAATCTTTCATATAAATTACATTCCAACAACGCCAAAATTATTTTTACTTCAGTCTCATCAGCTCAGCTTGATGCCTTGGAATCTTGTTTTATTCCTATGAATGATGTTTGAGAATCGAACCACCAGCTCTCCATTGCGCGTGGAAATGTATTTTACACTGATTCGCCCATTTCGACAACGTTGGGCTTGTTGTTGTTTTTTTCACTCTCAGCTACTACGGATTTTCCAATTTTGTTTACTACCTTTTTTCACAACTTTTTGTTCCCAATTTGACATTTTATATTTTAAATCACTTTTGTTTCTTGTTCATGTTTGGCTAATAGAAAAGAACTGGTGACTATTTTAAAGATTTTGAAGTATGTCAACCACCTGCACAGTTTTTAAGACAATGGCATTTTTTAATCAAGCAATATTTTTTTTCGTTTAAACTGATTAAAACTTGTTTTCTGTTTAAATAATAATTCCATTATAAATTATTTCATTTACATTACTTTTTATAACAGTTAGTAAAATTATACAACATATCTTTCAAGGGGGTATTTAATTTAAAAAAATCTTTTGAGCTTTTACAAACTTTGTACACGAAATTAAATTTGATAACCACTGACATTTCTACGAAGGAACAAGTGAAATAAAACGAATTTAAAATTCTCTATACCTACGTTCTTCCAATGTAGTTATAGCAACTTCCGCACCAAACTGACTTTCCCCTAACATGTTCTCACACTTAACTCTAAAGAAATATCTCGTGTTCGGTCTTAGTCCTCGTATAATTAGAGTTGTTTCACTTCCAGGAACATGGAGCGGTCCTCCAGCTATATCACCTGTAGTATTTACTTTAATTTAGTTGTAAATTGCATAGTTTATAATGAATATAAATTAATTAATTAAACTTATTTATTACCATCAACTTGTCTCCACATAATAGTGTATCTTGTAACAGGAGAATTTCCATCAAAAGGCTTTTTCCATGTTAAACGTACACTTCTGCTGGCTACATCATAAATTTCCAAGTTTTGTGGTGCATCAGGAATATCTAAAATATGAAAGAAATGAGTGTAAACGAAGTAAATACTTTAAGGAAAGTGCAAAGGAATTATGTCCGGTCATTTAATATGCTTTTTCTTCATAAAGTAGGAACTATTCACATAAAAAAAATTTACAGCAAATTCTAATATATTTAATATTGCTCATAAATATTTTTTTTTCAACTGTTCACACGTAAGTAGATAGTTTAAAACATTAGCAATTATTTTGTTTTTATTCATACATAAAAAAGAATTGGGTATTCATTGTACTACGGATGCTAAAGTAAGAAAACTGCTAACAAAGCACAAATAAAATACGGAAAAATGGATAGACTATAACTTAGGTTCTATAAACACAAACCTTCCTCGATGAATATCAACTAGCATCCGAAAAATAAATAGACATAGAGAAAACTAAACAGAGGGACGATCTTGAGCAAGATAGTAAAAAAAATAGGAACGATTCAATTTATACCCAGCTATTGATTCTGGAACAACTAATTCTGTTACAATCTAATCAGCTGTTTGCTGATATTAATAACACTTAATCTATTGTTGATTGACCCTATTGCCGCCTTCCTTTATTATCTTATGCAGGCTTGTTCCTACTGCTTAAATCACTTGTTTATCTCTTTATTATTCTACTGTCATTTGGTGTTTAGACACAGTAGAAGGTTCCTGTTTATGGAATCAAAACTATAGTATGTCCATTGCTATACTTTATTTCTTGATTCAAGTTGTTTTTGTTTAATTTTTAAATTATTTCAATTTTTTCTCCATTTAATTTCAATGCTCTTTTTCGTAACTATAAAAGCTTGCAATTTAAACTTTTTATTTTACAAAAGTTTAAACAGCCTGTCATTTGGTGTTTAAGCACAGGGGAGGGTTCCTGTTTATGGAATCAAAACTATAGTATGTCCATTTCTATACTTTATATTTTGAATCAAGTTGTTTTTGTTTAATTTTTAAATTATTTAAATTTTCTCTCAATTTAATTCTGATGCTCTTTTTTGTAACTTTAAAAGCTTGTTATTTAAACCATTTTATTTTACAAAAGTTTAAACAGTGTTCTTCATTTTTCTTATTTGGTTTGAATATGGAATAGTAATAGAAAGTAGTTCGAAATCATTGATATTAATTATAGTTATTTATTATATATAATTATGCATGTTACCTTGAACTGTTATTTGGATGTTGATCGAATCTTCACCAAAACTATTTGTAGCAGTACAAGTCATTAAAGCAGAATCTTTCCTTTCTGACTTTTCTATGGAGAATATTGATTTCAGACCATTTTGAACATTTTCAGCTGTTTGAGAATAGCTGTTTTGAGTAAATGTTTATAATTATTGCTCAGCAGTCTACGCTATAACAATCAAATAGATAAAACAATCGATAATATAATAAACAAATAGATAAAACAAATGAATGTCATATGTTTAAACATTTTATTTTATCTCATAACCGTCGTTGAACAGCCGACCCAATTTTAGGTTTACGACTAATTTGAAATTACAAGTTTCATTTTTCACTATAAATTAGGAAGAAAACATTAATTTAACACATTAATTTTCAGCGCATAAAAATCAACGCCCATTTTTGTCTTATGAAAAAACTAAAAAAAAAAAAATATTAATTTAAAAATAAATAACCAAAACAAAAGAAGTTCATTATCAAAAAATGTCTCCGTTAAATGTGCTTCCTAATCTCTTATCGGCACTTAAATTAAAGAAAACCTTTAATACAAATTTCGAAGCTTAGGTTCTGAATCACTTAAATTTTCGTTTTCAGAAACAATCCAAATATGCTTCTTTATGTACCATTCAGTTTTTATTAATAGCATTTTCAGACAGAATTTGCACTTTATTTAAAAGTAATTGACATGTTCTACCATATTTTAAGATCATTTGAAACAGTTAAATTTCCTTTAGCAAACCTGATATTTAAATGAAAATTTGGCAAATAAAACCAGTCAAGTATTTCTTTTTTTTTCGAATACGACTAGTTTTCTGTGCTTGAATTAGTTTTAGAAAAACAACGATGAAAGTTTTAAAATTTAAGTACACTAACTAACACTCAACTAAATTTTACTCACCCAAATCCAATCAGATGTGAGTTTCTAAAAAGACTTTATAATAACATTTCAAAACAAAAAGTCAGATAAATTTAAATGAAATAATATCAACTTTCAAGTGCTTTCTGAGTGAAAAGAAACCAGTTGAGCACCACTAACTTATCTATTAAGTCATGAAAATTTTAAAATTAAATTGGACAAATATTGCTTCATTAAGAATTTAATTATTAATGCAGTTTTCAATGAAGTGTTAAAGAATCCCTATCATTATAAGTAGAATTAAAAGTGTTCTATTGAGAAAAATATCAAAATTCAAAAAAAATTTATAAATAAAAAAATATATGGTACATACACAAAAAAACATAAACTGGGTTCAAATACCAAATAAAGAGCTTGCAAGAGAACTAAAAAATAGTTTCTTTTGATTTTTTGCTACATTTTTTTATCCCTTTAAAATTGAGCAGTTTTTCGTTCAAACTATTGCCCAAAGTAACTTATTTTCGTTTATTTATGTTCCTCTCTTAACTTAATTTTTTACTTGAAAAATAAACTTTCAGGGTCAGCGCTATTTGGACGCAATAATTATATAACGAATAAAAACGAATAGTTACTTTGTTAAGTTTGGGATAACTCTTTATCTCAGATTTCTAAAAAATAAACCATTTCCTTTCCTCAACTGATATTGACTGTTGAATTTTAAGCAAGTGTGTTCTTAGAGATACCCTTAAAATATATTTTATTGATATAAAATAATTTATCACTTTTAGTGCTTCAGAAAAACACTAGTTACCGTTTAAATGCGAGCATTAGATTGAAATCCAAAACAAAATATCGAAATTTAAGCAATTTTCACGCAATTCGTATTCGCAAAACTTTCACGGATTTTAGAAATAAAACTGTTATTCTTATTGATTATCAGTAAAATTCTCGCAGCAACAAATTCCAACTCCTATAAGTAATCAGTTTATTTTGAAGCTTTAGATTAAAATCATATTTCAATAGCTGTATATATCAATCTGTTAATCATTTATTAAAATTATGAGCACGAATACATTTTAATGAAGAAACATTTTAGGGGGTAAAGAATAAATAATACTCAAAACTTCAAAAAAATATTTTCACACTTTCATAGACGTCAAAACTTTGCAAAAAAAATTTTAGTTTAGTTTTTCTTTTGTAATATTTAAAAAAATAGTACTTTATAATCTAATTTTACTAAGTGCATCATAAAAGTGGAAGAACACCAAAAATCAAGTTTTTTTTAATTCCTTATTTTCTTAATATTCTTTAATATCTTAATATCTTTTTCTTAAATAATAATAAAATAAAATTGCATTTACATATTATAAGCTCTTAGTAAGGTCTAAACTCTATTGAATAAACTTATACACAGATCTATAGAAAGAATAGATTTTATTAAAACAAAATTGTCTGAGTACAAAATATTTAATGTTTTTATGTACAAAACAAATTAAATAAATATATTGTGTTTCTCCTAACTTTTAAAAGCGATACATGGAAGAAACGAAAATATATATTTCCTAAAAGTAATTAGTATAATTATTTTATCCTATAAAAAATTTCCACATTATAAAAAATTTCAATTCAATTTGCGAGAAGAAATACTGGCACTCAGGGTGCTGGCTCTTTTTAACCAAAAATCCATTATTACCGGAACATGTAACGGATCAAAAATTTGATATAGCCTCATTTTTGCAGCAATTATCCACTGAATCACTCTAATTAAATAAGTATTACTCTAAAAATTACGGCATAATGTTTTACAATAAAAATGAATTTTCGGTGAAAAGAATTTTACGAATGATGCACACAAAATACATATACTTTATACTTTCATTTGACCCTGGATTTTTTCAGTTACAACGATGACGAAAAAAATTTTATGTGTTTTAATTCACTCCATTACATATGCGTAAATGATGTTTATGACTGTACATAAGTTATGATATATTTCAATTTAGTTATTTACTTAATGGGAACAATATCTATAAAACTGAAATATATTCATTGTCTTTATTTACTCACCGTGGTTCCCTAATGAAATCTATAAGAGCGCCATTTTTCCTCCAAGAGAATGAGATAGGCTGGTCGCCCTCTGGGGAACACTCAATTACAGCCTTATCACCTCGTCTTACAGTAATGACCAGGAACTTTGTGACAAAGTGAGGAGCACCTAATAAAAATATATTAACAATTACCGTTTATTCAGAGATAAATTGACCAGCAGAAAATATCAACTTAATGAAATTTATGGATGCTTAATATAACAAATGATTTTTAACTTTGAAGTATTTTGTATTTTGGATCAAATTTGACACTATAACTTTAAGTTGAAAGATAAGAAAACACGGAATCAGAAAAATTCAACGGAGTTTGCTCATTTTACTAAGCATTAAAGCCTGATTATAATAAAATAGAATTTTACGGACGTTATGAATTTTATTTACAGAAAACTTAATTTAAAAATCCGAAATAACTCGAGATAATCGAGAAAACTTACAAAACATTTGTTTGCTTAAAGGGTTAATATAATCACATAATTACTTTCTTTTATATTTATATTACATCTATTTTCATCCATGTAATGATCGACTTCTATATATACTTATAAAGACTTTTTCCCAAACAAAAAAACTAAGTTCATTTAAAAAATTTTGAAACAATATATTAGATGTTTTTTGTCCAGGCAATATATTAAAAACAATTCAAAATCATTAAAAAGTAAGCAGAAGATTTTTCTTTAGGCAAACCATAAAACAGTTCTTAAAAAAGAAACAATTTGTATCATTTTGTAAAAAAATCATATTTTTGAGAACTTTGAAATTGTACATTTGAAATTGTACTTAAAGAGTTTTGACTTCAAAAAGTTTTGACTTCAAAAAGTTTTAAACTCGGCAAACTTTAAAATCTAGAGCTTGGAATTTAAAAAAAACTTAATTTCATGGTATTAAAAAATATATAAAAGATGAAGAAGTTTTTCGAATTAAGTGCTTGAAAATGAAATCAAACACATGAATAAACAAATTTTAACAGTATATATAAAAAAACAAATTCTGTCATAACTAGATACTTTTTTGTCTTTTTCTTTAGATATATCTTTAAAAGTGATATAACTAAAAAATACAGGATTTTAATCAACCTGTATTGAACAGGATCAACCTGTTCAATCAGCACCATTGCACATAAAATAAAAATTTTTATGTGAACGATTCCTAGTAAATGAATGGGCACTGTCGGTGATATAAAATTCAAGGTGAAAAAATTCCGCAAAATTTTGAAACAAATAATGAATCGATGAGGAAGAGTCCCGGACAAGGAATTTAATTGTGAAAAGTGAACGGATGGCTTGTAGATTTGAACATCCTGCTTGTATAAACGGATTATGACAGTAAAAAAACTAAAAAATCAATTTCATGAAACTTTTCCGTTTATCATGAAACGCTTTCCTTTTCCGTACGACAATGTGGGAAATAGACGCAAAATTAAAATTTTTGACTAATATTAGGTTATAGGGGATTGATAGATTGCAGCTAAAGTAATGAAAAAATACTAATAACTGCTTAATTCAGTTGTTTCCATTTTAAAGGGTAAATATTTATTTTTTAATGCAAATAAGCAAATATATTTTATGTCCTAAAGGGAACACAAATTTATTACTGAAATCAAATTATTTATACAAAAATTGAATGTTTCAAACTGTATCATGTTCTAATTACATTTGTTAACTTACTATGCACTGTCAGTTTAACGATTGCGCTAAGTCCCGAACCAACTCCATTGTTAGCTTCACAAAGGTAAAAGCCAGCATCAGAACCTTGGACACTTCGAATGTTCAATGAACCATTCATCAATATATGAATGTGAGAACTACTCACAATTGTGCGAAATTCATCAGGCAGTTCATCTGCAAAAGAGGAAACTTCATTTTTGATACATTCTAAACAATATACATACGTATTTTCTCTGGAAAAATACATACTTTATACATATACGTGAACAAGTTTAGTCTTTAGAAATAGTTTGTAGCGGGTACACTTAATACTTAAAATATATAAATGAGAATAAAATTATCCTAATGTATTTTTTTATAAAAACAATTCAGAGAAAATACCCAGTTGTTTTGTTCTTTTTTACCTCCATTTTATACTTTTTCAGATATTAGATTAACAGTATTCAAAAGCAGTGATTGTTCGATATATAAGTGGTTATTCTCAAAAAATATTACACAATAAGAAAAAATTTGAATAAATTCTTAAAAATCGATGATGACATATAAAACAAATTAACAAAATTCCATATTATTGTTTTTAAACAATTATTATAGTTTTTTTTTGTTTTAAGTTAATTGAATACAACTAATTAATGATTTCATACATTAAACGTGTAACATAACGAAACTGTAATAGCGTAACAAAATATTTTAATGTTTAATTAATTAGAAATATTATATTATTAACACTTTTTTAATGTTTAAATTAAATGAAAATAACTTGTATCACCTTGAACATAGTAAAAACCTCCGGATCAATTTACGGTAAAAAAGTACCGACACACTGGGTACTGATAAATTTCAACATGAAATCCATTTATACCGTGACATGCTGCAGAACAAAAAATCTGATATATCGAAATGTTTATAATAAAATTAATCAATCAAATAGATGTTACTGCTATCATTTTAAGGTAAAAATGGCTTTAATGGTAAATTGGATTTTACGGACGATGTACCAAAAGTGCTGTTACTTTATACAAAAATTTGATCTAGATTTTTTTGACAATATGAAAAGTGAAGAAAATTTTTGTTTTGTGCCTTTCTGTAGATAAATTTCTATAAATATACGAAAATTTGTTTATTGAATTATGTCAAAATAAGAAAAAAGAGAAAGAGTTTCATACAATAGCACCATAAGAGTTTTTTTCAGATTTTTTTCATAAGTTTTAGGCAAATATTTATAAAAAGTAAGTAAAATCGGGTACCTATTGTAGACAATAAATTACTAAATACTCACTTTGAGCCATTTTCCAGCGTACATGTGGTAAAGGAGCACCATCCGCTTGACAATCAATTCTCGCAGGTTTGTTGGCTACGGTTGAAACATCCGTTGGACGCAATATCCACCTTGGAGGCACTAGATAACTCAATATTATTGAAATATTTTATTTATATTTAAAATCCTATTACATTTACGAACAATATAGCTTCAATTAATACACTGTAAAAAAGACTGTGGAATTTACGTATAAAAAACTGCCAGCTGATGTGCTAGTATAAAATCATTAATTTAATAGAATTTTTTTTTATTTCCCATGAGCTGCACAATCAGTCTTCCCCATGAGCAGACCTTGTGCGTTCTCCAGAAGTGGTATCCTCTCTTTCAGGACCCCCACAATGGGTGAGATACCGTTGGCCATGTTAATTTGGACGTCTAGTTTCTGCCACACTAGATGGCAGCACCGTAACTCTATTTGGATGCTAAAGTGCACTAGGAATTTAATTTTGCCGGAAATGCCAAGAGCCAATAAGGCACTCCAGGGATCTTTTACATGCCGCATAATCATACGACATGGTCGTTGAGGATTTTCTGCATCCCGAAAATCCGGTGTCTGGGCCGGGGATCGAACCTGCAGACTTGGGCTCAGAAGGCCGACGTAGAAAAATACTGCTATTTAAAAAACAAATATCTGTTTTTTTTTTAAGATCGTAAGTGTTGCTATTTAAGCAAACAATCTCAGTTGATTTAACAAACAAAAACAGCTAATTTATCAAAAATTCCACAAAATAACTATGCTAGCATTGTGGTTGGTGTGAGCCGATAGCGTCATTCGTATTTACAGTCGAAGCTGTGATTCAAACCTGATATTAAAATTTTATTGAGAAGCGAGCCCTCTGTCTTTTGAACTGCTACAACTCTAGCATATCAATTTGAAGAAAAATAATATTTTTTTAGTTTAAAAGTGTTTCTTGTTCAAATAATATTTAAGTGTAAAAAAATAATAAAACTGTAATAGCCGTGGTAAAATATTTGGCAACTTAACTTACCAAAATATTTAAACTAAAGAATTATAATAATCAGGTTGACTATATATTTGACAATAACATTGAATCGCAGTTTTATTTATATGACGTTCAAAAAAAAAATAGTTGCTGAAAAATATAGTATAGAACAAGTATAGAATATAAAATTGAAATTAATTGAAAAAAATGTAGTTATTGTACTGGTAAGAAAAACTGCATGGCAAAAACTAGAATTTGAAGACTGTAAAAGAAACGGGAATTTTTTACATATCGTGGATAGCGGATAAAAGCAGAAACAGAATATGTATTTTTCTTTTAACAGTTTTTTTTTCAATGAAAAATATGTTTCTCTTCCGAGTAATTTACAGTAATATTTCACATTGCAGGATGTACAATTACAAACCATTCAACCCAGATTAGATAAATTAAAGTGAAAACAACTACTGTTACAGTTTTAACAAACATACAATTTATTATATTCTGTTTTGTTTTTCGATTTTTACAAAAAGTGTAAATAACTTATGCTACACTGGAGGTATGTATTTTTGACAATTATGAATAATGGTAATCTAGATTTTTAATTAGAAAACTAATATATTCTGATAAGAAATCTGAAAAATTGCAAAGATAAATAAAATTTCAGGTGCTTTTAACAGTATTTTAAAAGAATTTTTTTCAGTATGCATTTTAACTGAGGGTATGTATTTTTGTCAATTCTAAATGATGAAAATCGAATTTTTTAATCAGAAAACTAATATATTCTGAATAAAAATTTAAAACATTGCATACACATATAAAATTCCAAAGTATTTATAAAAAGATACTGTTTTTCAAGAAGAAAAAAATAAATAAAATATATTTGCTTTTATTTCAGTGAGTAAAATTACAGTTAGCTGAATATATTTAAAGCATTCATAGTTTCTAAACTGAAAAGCAAAGGCATATAACTCTTTGTATAATATGCATTGTATAATAAGCAACATATACTTTCGTATACGCTATGCAGCACAGCTAAGTCAAAGGAAGAAAGAGCAACTTTAACTGTATAAGTTTCTGGCTTAATGCGTTTACGCTTGAAGAATCTCCGGTCAATATTTTGCCAAGTCATGGAAAATAATTTGAATACACATAAATATGAAAAGTTTTAGTTAGTGTTTCTGCCTGACATCACAAATTCACAAAGATTACGATTGATCGGAATAGTTATAACGAAATGGCGGTTTGCGCTTCAATTTTGCTCGAGACATTTACGGTAGTTAGAAGTAAATAAGGGAGCATAATCATATTATAAATCATTCGTTTTATCAATGTTGTAACAATGTTTGTTTGAAAATGTTAGTTGAGGGCATATTAAGTAAAGTTTTCAAAATTCTTGAGCCGTTTTAATTAATATAGTTTAAACAGTTAAGATTTAAAAAAAAGCGTCTTAAAATAATGGCTGTTGACTGAAATTGTAAATGGTCTGATTATTTCGGCATCTTTAAACACTAGAATGACCTAAACGGTCATTTTGACCACAAGCGAACTTTGAGAGGTGCTATGCCCTAAAAGTATTGTACCAGTTCCCTTGACTTTCGTGACTTTTCCTTACTTTTTATGGTCTTCAAAGGTATTAAAATTTAGTAGGTTTTTTAATAAACGCATAAAATGATGTCTTACCTAGAAATACCGTAGCGGGTAAAATGACTGCTGTAGTGACTTGAGTGTATTACTTGGAAAGATCACATTCTTTCTCCACCATTGCTTATCTATTTTTTTTGATCATGTACTTGACTAAATTCACAAAAAAAAATTTTCCATGAAGAAAATCCCCATCCTGCCAGCTACCACTCACCCATCCATTGTAATTGCTTATGCAGTTCTTTTCTGATAGTTTCAAATTATGAGCTTGTGATTGGCTTATAAAGTTTAAAACAAATTTGTCTTTTCATTCGAGAAATGATAGTTATGTGACAAATTCTAGTTTGTTTTTTATAGTATGAAAACAACTAGTCAAAATATATTCAGTATATGAAAAATAGGCATTAGTAGTTCTAATTTAAAATACGTTTGACTGTGTAACTTGTCATCAAATATTTCTTGATCAGTTTGATATATCTAGAAAAGATACTCAGAGAAGTGACTTGGTGAAAATGTCGTCATGAAACTAATGGGTTCGTTTCTTTGTGAGAACAGAAATTACCCAACATGCATTGTTTCACATCCCTGAAAATTGCTCACTTTTTGAAGAAGAAAAAAGTTTTGCTACAATACGGTTAAATTGAAAGGAAATCCAACCTATTAGCAGAGCTAAAGCTAACTTATACTTGCTTTAATAATTATTCGAATAAGGAACTCAAAAATAATTACTATAAGCCGCTTTTAATCTAAAAAAATGCCCGTATCATAAGCAATATTCATAACTGTGAAAGTGTAAATATAGTATTTAATCATACAAAACTTTCTGAAAAAACAACCTTTTAAATTCTGCCAACAGCAGCTTGGATATGCTCGATCAAATAAAACTTTTCTATGCTGCACGAGGGATTTATAGAATATGGTCAGTTTTGATTTTTCAAACTTCCTAGATATTGCAGCTAAAAATTCGTGATTTTTTTTAATGAGAGAAACACATCTCAAATTTCTCGAAAGTGCTTTATTTTGAGTTTTCCCAGCATATTGACTTTTGCCCCTTTGACTTTTCTGAAATTACATTAAAATGTCACGAAATTTTCATTAGCAACTTTAATTTCAAATGATGTGCTAATGCCTAGAAAAATATGTAATTGATTAATAATTATATTATTTTTCAATGAAAGAGAAATACTTTTTTTTATGTAATAACTGATCGTTATCATATAAAATACTGCAAAATTTGAGTTGAAAATCAAATATGTATCATTATTTTCTCATTGCAGTCAATATGACCGCATTGATCGTTCCAAGTAGGTAAAAATTTCAGTCCTACTAGTGTTAAAATGTTGCGTTCCTTCATTACGACAGAAGTGCTAAAATTATATATGGGCAGACATTATTTCATGTAACAATATAATAAATAAAAAAATATATGTTTCGATTACTATTAAGGAAAGCTTTTATGGTTTGGCTTGTTATGTATTTTATTTTATAACATTCAATTACAGATAAAACCACTTATTTAAAATTTAAAACAATGTAAAACTCCAAAAATTCGTTTTGTAGAGGGTTTTCTCTTACCTTTAACAGTAAGAACAGCACTACTTGATCCAGAAGCAACATCATTTGTTACAACGCATGTGTAGTTTCCATTATGCATATGAGTGAGATTTTTGAAAGTCAAGATTGAAATTGACCCATCCTCTTCCTGTAATATATTGACGTTTAGCTTGTGTTCTTCAATCCGTCGTCCATCTTTAAGCCATCTTGTTGTTAATGGACCATCCCCACCTAATACAATGCAGTTGGCTACCGTTCTCATTCCTTCGTGTAAGTTGTCTTTAAATGAAAAGAGAGCCACTTTTGGTCCAGCTGCAAGAAAGTTAATGATCTTAAAAAAATTATATTTATATATATCATATACTCTACACATTAACAAACATTTGGATTAAAAGTAACAACATTTTTGTAAGAATTTTGTAAGAATTTTGTTAAAATTGTCTTCATACTTTTATACTTTTACTTATTTATTTATTATTATTCATAGAAAATTATGTTTCTTTTCCTTTCACTGAAATGTGGCGACAATACTTTGAAATAATGGTTTATTTGCATAAAATTGTCTGAAGAGAGGTCATTTTATGGAGGCCATTCAAGGTATAAAATATTTTCAATTAATTTAATAGAAAGGTTTATAATCAAATTAAGAAAAAACTGCTTTTTTTAATTTTCGTTATTTACCCAATTTTGCGTTTACTCAGGTATAGAGCACTTGTCTCTAAAGGTGATGACCCAAGTTCGAGAACCAGCTGCAGCCAGTTGATGCAAATTCTGCTCTTGTATCGCACCAGCCACGGTGCTGACGTAAAATATAATCAGTAGTAGACTGATCATGGGTCAGAATCCCCAGTCATATGACAAATCGTGGAAGGTTAGCGGGTTAGCTCATTCACTCCATCAAAAAGTCCTCCACAGAGGCTTGTTTATCCCAATGCTTGATAAAGGTGAACCCTTGTCTTCCAGGTTTGGTTAAAAACTACAAGGCTACGGGGTTGAACATTGATAGTTGAATAGGGTTAGCTATACAACGCTATAAAATATTTATAAGGCACGTATCCTATTTGTATTAAAATAGTTACTAAAATTAATTATCACGCTTTCGATGTGTTAACCCCCTGATAAAAGTTGCAAGAAGCGTGATTATTTTCTATAGATTGATTAACGGATATGGTAATTTGCAGTAAAAAGAAAAATTTACCTCGTATATCAAGACGAAATGTTTGCACTACAGGTTGAACTCTTTCATTGCTTGAACTAACTTCGCAACTGTATAATCCTTTGTCCTCCTCATGGTGTACCTCAGTGATAAGAAATGTACCATTTGGGAAAACTCGTTGACGCTGATTAAGAGGTAGAGGAATATTGTCTGAAATCAAACTATATATTCTTACTTTTTTTTCTCAGTTTGAAACTTAAATTCGAAACAAGAGAATAAATGTGTAAAGTTAAAGTATCCTACTGAGTAATAAAACGCGTAAGAATCGAAATATATTGTTACGACATAAGAATAGACAACAGAAATATTTCATTGTGAATTCCTGAGGAAAGGCGTTTGCTTTTGGATATATATATATATATATATATATATATATATATATATATATANTACCTTCTTAAATCTTTTAATATCATCTGTAATTTGGTTCTGAATAATCTGTATCACAAGACTGAATTAACTATCTATCATTGTGAGATTAACTATCATTGTGAGATTTTAAATTTAAGTTCTTGTGTACAAATTTCATCTGTTATAGTTTATATACTTGTGTATCATAAAATCTACTTGTTTAGTCTTCACCCTTGGTAAATTTGATTTGTACCTGGCAAAATGACATATTTTTTCATTAAAAAGTAAATTTCAATTCTAACTGAATTTTTATGTATATATATATATATGCGTGTGTGTGTATTTAAACAATAAAAATTTCAAATTCAATTACTTTTCGTAAAAGAAACGCATGTTTTATTTAAATGCATGCGTACATATGAAATTGATAGAAGTTTTCTGTTAAAAAAAAAAGAAACTGCCTAAGAGAATATTTTACTTTACTTTAAGATAAGATTTTACTTAAGTTTTTGAATAATCATAAATCATCAGTTTTCCCTCCATTTTGCGAGGCAAAACGCTTTAAATAGTTGACTATATTGCAAATTTACAATCCTATTAGTATCTATTAGTGGACTCTAATGACTCTCTCTTTATTTTGGAGATTTCTCTCTTGGTTGCAGTTGGTTGCAATTGTAATGCAAGCTTTTATTTCTCTTAAAATTTGTTACCTGAGCTAAACAAACTTTAAAAATTAAGTTTCTTTTTATTTACTTAAGAAATTGCAAAGCAGAAGAGTCGGTCGTTAAAAACCTCTGGATTGGAAAATCACAACCCGGTTGATAATAACAGGCTGAGCATAACAGGTTCAGTACAACAGGCTAAGCCCTGAATTTCAGCAAATTTCATGTTCTTTCAGAAGTAAAATTATTGAAGGGAAAAAGACAAACCAAAAGACTTTTGAAGCAATAGTTTTTAGCGACATTGTGTTTGAAACACAAGAAATTAATTCTGATGATTTTCTTCAATTTTTTTAAATCATTTTTGTTCTTATACAAGCAAAACCTTTCACAATTGTTAAAATGTATCCATTACCTTGCTCAAAATGACGTGTTCACTTGCTAAAACTAAAAGGATAATAATTAATAGTTGTAAAAATGTTTTTATTAAATTTTAAAAAAATATTGTCTATCTATTGTTTGAAGCAAATACATACATCAGCTTTTAAAGAGTTTTAAATTTTTTCGACATTTATAAAGCACTTCCTAGATTGGTAAATTTAAATTAATACACTTAAAACTGACATAAGATATTAGTTATTATACCTCTCTTCCATTTTATGACATCAAATGGATATCCACCAAATGGACAGGTCATCGCATATCCAGCTCCAGCCAATGCGGTCACATTATCTAATGGCCTTACGAATAGCAGTCCAAATACATTTAAGCGCTTAGAATGCATCACTTGACCAGCATCATTGATCGCCTCACATGTGTACAGTCCGCTATCTTTAACGTCTACAGATGTAAAATTGACGTAACTTGTTACGGCATTTTCAGAACTTAGATAAGTGCTTACTAAAATTCCTGGACGAGTTGCTACCGGCCAAATTCGATCAAGAAGCCAACGAATACGAGGTTCGGGATTTCCTGTTGCAATGCAGGTTAAAGATACGAAACTTCCAGAACGAACAGTCATTTCAGGGAAGAATGATTTGAGCTTTGGTGCTAAATCTGTAAATCAGTAATGCAATATTAAAATATATTTTATGTATTATATTGATTTCAAGTTCAGAAATATATAACTATATGTAATAAAAATTACACAGCAAAAACCATTAATACACTTAATTAAAGTTATAGTTAAGTGTATAAATATAAATAAAGGAACGGACTTTATTAGATAATAACAATCTCCTTAAATAAAAATTACAAATTAGTCTTGATGAAACAATTAAACATGAAACAAATCGTTTGTTTATTTTAATTTTTTACTACTATTAAATCAAAATTTTTATACCATTTAAATAAAATTACATTAAATTTTAAATAAATGTTTCATTGTTTCTGCCCTTATTAATCTTCACACAAATACACTGTCAAAAAATGGATACTCAAATTTCCCTAAACATTCTTCGTTTTTAACGATACTGTTTCCAGGTATGGATGTTTTGTCACAATTATCGTCACTTTTTCGAGGAAACGAATTTCGCCAAAAGTAAAGAAATATTTCGTCATTCTAGTTAACAATCTCCCACAATGTAGTGCGGTGAGGATCCGATTTCAGGAAACAGTTCTGTCATTTATTTGATAGTTCGCGATATGTCATAAATCAATATTAAATAATTTTCAAAATAAACGAAATCCAGCTAAATGATTGTTGAATCGTTGAAACTGAGAGTTTTGCTTCTAAGTGTGTAGAAGTAAATAGTATTTACTCCTTACATTTTACTATCGATGCTATTTTCTAAATCTATGAAAAAATTTGCTAATAGGATCCTATCTTGCTTGATCATTATTACGTCATTCCATCATTAAAAACCAACAAGTTAAAGCTAGCAAAATTATTATTACGAAATATGCTTTTCTTAAACTGTATACTTTATGTGTCTAAAGTGTAATTTTTTTCACAATTAGGCATTATTATCATTTTTAGGGCGATTATTAATAGAGTAGCACTTAGATCACATCTACAAAATCATCTATGGAGGATATTGTTGGGGTTAGAAAATTGTTAATCCTTTGTTTTAAATGTGTTTGTGGTGTAAAATTAACAATTACTATTTTATGAAGTAAAAAAATGCAGTAATCACCTTATTCTCATTTTATTAAATGTTTTAAGCAGTTATTGAGAAACAATCCAATTAATGATTCCAAATAGATTAAGTTTGCAGCGAGAAAAAATTTTATGGATAATACATAATTATAAAAAATTAAATGGAACATTTATTTCATTTCCTATGACAAAATTGGTAAATGTTTTTTATTTAATATTTTGATTGAAAGGCAAAAAAAATCATTTGCTCAAGTAGGAAAGTTCTAAGTATTTAAGTATCAAATATGATAACAGGGAAGATATGATACTACAAATCCAATCATAGCATTCTAAGAAATTCAAAATACTTTATATGTTTTATTAGTTAAGTAAAGTATGTGATTATTAGTAAAATAAATTACGTAGATGAAACATTATACAGAAAGAGAACACTGCAAGTGATTCCGGATAAAATTACGGTATAAAGTAATGGCACTTTGGGGGTATCATTCATGAATCATAAAATCCTTTTCACGTTAAAACTAAATTGTATCGTAAAATATTATATAGTAATTTTTATGGTAATACTTATTTACTTAAAGGGATTTTAGGGTAAAAAGTATGGTATGTCAGATTTTTTTCCGTAATATGTTCCATCAATAATGAATTTAGCCGTAAAATGTACCGGCAATCTGAGTATCGGTGTTTTTTACCTCAATTTGACCCGGAATATTTAATAGTGTAATAATTTCACTACGTTTTAAATTAACGACACCTAATTTACAACAAGGAGAATCACCAAAAACATATGTAATATGTTTCTTTCATCATAGGCATCACAAAATATTTGTAAAGATATTTAAAAGAAACCACTGTAAAATAAATTTAAAATATTCCATTAACTAATAACTGAATAAACCATATCTTTACTTTAAATACAAACATATTTAAAACATTTTTATTCTGAGGAAACTAGTTCGATATTTTTCTTCTCACCTCCGATCAATAACCTAGCTGAAGACTGAACTGAGTGAGACTCTCTATAAACAAAGCATTGATACATTCCAGAGTCTTGCCTCTTGAGCTGTCTTAGTTGTACCACAAACTGAGAAGGAAAAAATACACTTGGATTCGATGACGACAGTAATTCCATGTCCTTCCTCCAAACGACTGATCTCACAGGACTTCCTGACACGTTACAATTGAATGTCGCTGTCCGTCCTACATCCATTCGTAATTCTTTGGGTGTTACTGTCACTTGCAGAGGTTCTATTGAAAATATTTATTTGTGGTAAGGTACACTTGTAAGAATTTTATAAACTATTCTGTTTGAAAAATGACGTTAATTGGTACATAAAAAATACTTTGTATAATTTCAGGAAATAAACAATTCTAGATTGGTCTGTATAATTTTATAAACGGACAATAATAAGGAATTAAAACTATAAGTCTTGAAAATTCTAGATTATTTAATGTGTTCATTAACTTAACTGTCCATGTAATGTGTCAAACTTAGCTTCTAAAATGAGTCATATTATTGTAAAAAAAAAAATACCTGCTAAACGTTGATTACACAAATATATATTTAAAAACTGATTTGTCGAGTTTGGTTTCAAAAAACATTCAATTTTAATGTAACTTTAATACCGTATCCAGCTAAACCATAATTTTGTGAACAAATTATTGCTAACACAGTTTTCAGAAGTTATAATTGGAATAATTTCACCGATTACATTTTTAAAATTTTTTTACACATTATGATTTTAGCAATTTTTCGCAAATTACTATAACTTAGTTGATATAAGTTTTAAGTTAAATAGTAATTTTTTACTTTTACTAAGGCGACTTTTAGGAAGAAATGTCATGCCATAATACACCTATGCATCATTCATAAATAGTCTTTTTTGTTCAAATACACTAAATAAATCCTTAGGTAATTAAGTAGTAAGCATTCATGTAGAAAAACATGAAGAAAAAAAATTCTGCTGTAATTACAGTACTGTATGGTAATGACATTTCTAATAAAAAAAATCTAGTTCATAAAAGCAAAACCATTTATCTGGTTATTTCATTATCTGGTAAACATACATCCGGTATTTAAACCATACATCCGGTATTTAAACCATTCATCTGGCAATCTTTTTTTTCATATCGTATTGATTTGCAAGAAATACAAAATAAATACAAAACTGAAAAAACAAATTAACCGAATAAGTGATTCTTAAGCCATGCTTTAAAGTTGTATGATAAAATTACCAGATTTTACCACATTTACCAAAGTTGATCACATATTATAAAGCTGTGTTTTATTGCGAATTTTACCAAAATCATTTCTAAAGCACTTTGGTAAAAAATAGCAAGGTTTTTGGATTTCCAGTGGAGCCAGAAGCGTAATAAATTTTACTAGTTCTGGGAGTTTTCAAACGTAATTACTTTAAATGTATGGTTCATTCAAACACTTTATCAAGTTTTAAACAAATTTAATCAAAAGTATGGTTCTCGGTTATACTAATTTTTCTGAGAATCTATTATCAAACGAGAGCTTGATAAGAACTTCAAATTGAAAAGAAATATTTAGTGGATATTTGCATGAAAATGACCCATCTTCAAATAGGAGTGCTAAGCAATAAGGTAAATACGTGTTTTGTGATTATTATTTCTACATTTTATTTGCTCTTCTTTTTTGAGGAAAAAATCCTTATATTTCTAAATACTACAGTTTGTTAACTAATTTTTTTTTTAAAAATAATAAATAGCAACTAAAAGATACCAATTTATTTAGTTAAGTGGCATATATTTAAATGAATACCTAAGATTTTTTAAAATTACAAAAAAAATATACCGATTTCTTTAAATGGTGGCAATATTTTTGTTTTACCGTGCGACACATTTGCAAACATAACAAATTCAGAGCATTCATTCTGAAAAATTTTACACAAAACACTCAAGTAATTTTTTAAAGTAATTCCTTGTAAATTTTGGATTCAGAATGTATTTAAAAAATATTAGATAAAATATTGCAATAGTTTAAAATATGGTGTACGCATACAGAGAGACAAAATAAAATATTTAGAAATAAATAACGTTTAAAATCGTTTTTTGTGAACAGCTAAATTCCAAAATATTTTAAATAAGGCCTTTTAAGGAAACATGTCAAATAATGCTTTTATTTTGTTTAAAGTCTCGCCTTTAACAAGCAATAAGTTTTTAAAAAATCTAACCATTATTTTGGTTTTCCGCTTCTTTTCTTTTCATTTCAACTCCTTTCGTTGTTTGAGGATTGAAATAGCTTACAGTTTCATATATATTGCTAAATTCCATGCCTAAACACTTGAAAGCGTTTTGTTCCAAGTTACACATAATAAAATATTTTTAGATTGCACAGATGTTTTTGATAATAAGTACTTTTGACATTCAATGTCTTTATTCAAAAAAAAATTCTGTTATCATGGGAAAGATTTCTTAGAAATATTTGACAAAAGATTTTATTTTATCTAAGATGGAAAAATATTTCTGTAAATACAGATACAAACAGGCATCAGCATTTTTATGAAACCAAAGAATTGTTATTCAGTTTCTATTCTGTTCCCAAATGCCTTTTTTAGCATTTGAGACGTATGACCTTTTAAACTGCCATATCTATTTTTGTACTTTTGAAAAATATGTTTAGACGTAAGCACTTTACAATTTATTTTAAAAGTAAAAATATCGAAGTTAATTATTGTTGTTATGATTTACAGAAAAAATTAACTGTAAGCAAAAGTAGTGATTATAAAAAATGTACTATCATTATATTCGTGCTAAAATTGATACTGATTGTGCAATATTTGAGTTTCAAAAACCAGACACAGATATGCTTGGCCACACTATAGGCGCTAAAAACTAAGAGGGACAGTGAAAAAAAATTATAAAAAAGAATGCATATTTAGAATTATATTTAGAAAACCATGGAAGTACTTTGGGAAATATTTTTTTTCATTTAAAGTTAAACAATAATTTATATATATTATGTCAATTACTTAATAAAATATATTTGCTTTTATATTCCACAAAGCATGATACCAGAAAACATCAACGAGAAGCAATATAAAAGCTTTTCAACTAAAATTATTGAGTACCCAATAATGTTTTTCATAATTCAGATAGTTCTAGTAAATGAGTATCTCGATTTCTAATATGTGGTTCTGTGAATATGTGGTCAAATTTTAATTTAGCAAATCACCCAATGCTAGTAGCACGATTTCATGTAGATCGCGTTGTACGGCAACGCAATAGTTGGTTTTGAACTTTTTTTTTGCATTGTTTGAAATATTAATAGAAGGATTGTCCTAATGAAAAGTTTGAACATCAAAATGCAATAATAATAGCGAAGTTCTTATTCGGAGATGTTAAGATGTATGCACAACATACTGTGTGTACCTCATTTAGCCAATTCACATGAGAGCATTTAAAGTGATTGTCAAGTCTTCCAAAAAAAATGCATGCGTTACATTTTGTTTGTTTGTCTTGGGAGATCTAATACTGATTACTGAAACATGCTGGTTATGAAAACTATTGCACTAATTGTTAATAGCCGTTTGTTTTAGACAGTGCTCACTAAGAACAGTAACCATTTGATAATAAATGTCCAAATTACGCTCACTTTCTTTCACTAAAAGTGATTCTTCAGTGCATTGTTCTGCTCTGGACGAATCCATTCTAGCATGATTTTACATTTATTATAAATGCTCTAATTACAACGTACGCGATATGTGGTGCACTCTCCTTGTCAAAACTTAAAATACTGAAGAGTGGATCTTCAATTCCTACTTTAGAAGTCTTCGACAGTGTACCCTATATCCTCCTACGCAGGCATAATTAACAGTACACTTCCAGAAAATTCTTAAAATTCTATATAAAGTCCACTTTTTTACTTTTATTTCCTTTGATTTGCAAAAATATAGTTTCAAGATCTCTTATTTTATTTCGTCTTTTCAAATGTTCCCAAATAAAACTGTTTCAATTACAAAACAGAATTTATAACTTTCATTTACGTTGTTATATTTATGTTTTTGTTCTTTTAACCACCACTCCCAATCTTTTTAACCCGCATAGGGAATGAGTTTGCTGTTTGGAGGAAAGGAAATATTTTACTATCGTTTTTTCAAAAGGAAACAAATAAAATTGCTTCATATAAAATAAAGGAAGAGAAAAAAAAACTAAGCAAATCTGGATTTCAAACGATGGACTGAATTCAGGATAAATAACTGTATCGTCATCTTATCCCACCTCTCCTATATCTGACTACATGAAGTGTATTTACTTTTCATTTAAACAGACCTAATTTTGCAGAAATTTTTTTTTCTAAAGCAATGAAAAATTAGCATTTTTTTAAATTTATTCTTTAAAATTTAAAACTGAAGCGTAATAGGGTTCGTTAAGAGATAAAGCTTCCTTCCTCCATTTGTATATAATATTACTTTGACAATATTATTTTTGTTTTTGAAAGCGAAGGAAAATAAAATAAACACTGTTCAGTGCCTTACATTGAAGATTTCATAATTTATATGCCATCTTGCAGCGAAAAATTATTTGGGTTTTAGAACACACAAATCATTTAAAAAATTTAATAGTTATTAATCTTTTTTTTAAAAAAACGCCAATTTGGCAGCATTTTTTCACCTTAATGAAAATTTTCAAAATCACCACTTTATTCTCTGGGCTTGCAAATTTTTATCAACCCAAGTAAGCACTAGAATAAGTTTTAAAATATCAAAACTTAGGCTACAAACGTCTTTTAATTTTCACAAAACTGTGGTTTTTTCCATATTGACACTTAGCTTCATTTTCAAACTCACTGCAAACTCACAGCAGCTACGAAAATGGCATATTATTCGCCAAAAAAACATCATTTCATTTGACCACGGATCCTTCGAAAAACAGCCTTATACTAAATCAAAGATGCTTAAAATGAACTGCATTCCAAGACTTTCGTATTCAAAATTTTGAAGTTATGAAATTTAGGACATTATCTCAAAGTTCATATTGCTTGCCTTAATGCTGTGTTATCTAATTATTAAAATGCCGACATTGCACAATTAGTGAAGACCCTTGTAATAAATTCCAAATTTAAATTGATTTGTTGCAACATAATTGGATAAATAAACATCGCTAACAAGTTTTAACGATATAAATATTAAGCTATTTGTTTGAGTAGATAATATGTTGTATCGCACTGTCCTTATTGTACTTTCTGTAGACTTAATATGTTGAACATTTTGCAACACAGTGCTTGGCCTTTTTAAAGAAAATATTCAACATAAGAAAGGAAAGTATTTGGTGTCAGAAAAGATAAGTGTTATTGATAATAAAAAATTAGGTAATATCTAAGCGATTTGGTTTGGTTAAGTAAAATGCATAATACTTAGCTTTTTGAAGCCTTAGACTGTACTTTCTGCAATACATTCTTTGAGAAATTTTAATACTTAAAAAGGGAAAAAACGAATTTGCCGTTAGAAAATGTATCTACATCACACTTATCTTTTAATCAAGTAACGTTTTGGCCTTCTTGTTTTGGTTATGCAAAGTGTATAACACTCAAAGTGTTTAGCACATTTTTCAGGTGTAATGGGTATTATTATATTGTTTTTGTTTGGTGAATTTAGTATTTTTTGTACATAAATTTAAAAAAAAACATAGTAATTATTTTTTTTACACTGAATTGTTTTATTACATCAAAACTAACCGCATCTTAATACTACTCAAACTATTCAATATTTATTTATAGAAGATTTATTTACATACCTTCAACTATTAGTTCAATCTGAACAGAATCTTCTCCCATGGTATTACTAACATGGCAAACATATAGACCGCTGTCGATGGGAAGAGGTTTGTGGAATATAAGGACACCGCCAAATAGTTTAATTGATGAATTATCATGGAGAGAAAAAGGCTGGTTTCTAACAAGTTTATGCCAACGGTATCTAGGAACAGGATAACCTTGAGCTAAACAAGATAGCGTTGTTTTTTGTCCAACATCTGTGGTTACTATACTTGATCTTTGCATTATTCTTGGTGGTTGAGCATGATGTGGCTCTAAAGAGAGAAAATAAAGTCGCAAACAAAGTATTACAGTAGGGCTTAAAATGAAATTGACTGAGAATATATAAATGTCTTTCTAATGTCTTTCAGATGACATTGGGGAACAAATGTCTTTTGCATTTATACAAGTACTTGATCTTGCCTAAATCGGGTGTGGGTATTTCATATCTGAAATTACAGTTACAGAATACAGCTACAGAATATTTTTAAAAATACATATCAGTCTGTTTTTTGTCACAATGTACAAGTTTAAAAACGTTAAACATAATGAGGGATCACGTAAATCTAGTGGTGTTAATCTTCTTGGGGTGTTAAGACACATCAACAGCATTAAAATTGCATAAAATATAGCAGAATTAAAATAGTCGTCGTACCTGACTAAGGGCGCATCCTTATTAGGGTCTATTCAGAATCACATGAAGAAACAGTGCAAAATAGAGAAGCGACGCTTACAGCTTTTGACGACATTCACGGGCATGGGTTCCTACTTAATTTTAATCTTGATAATATGCTTTAACTTGAGAAGCTTTTGCATCATTTATGTTACCCCCTGTTATAACGTTTTTAAACTTTCACATTCTGATAAAAATGTCATTAAAAAAAACAGTTACAGCAGGAGAGAAACCAACAGCATATTTGAAATCAGTGACGTAAAAATATCCAATATCCATTGAAAAATTTCAATCAACAGAAATAAAATGTTCCCCAGTGTACTTGTTAGTTAAGTGCAGATATAACCGAAAAATGGATAACAACTTTCCAAAATTAAGAAGCAAATGGAAGCATGGTATGTGTGCGTATTTTTAATAACAGTATATGATAATAGTAACAATATAGTGATTTTCTTTTTTAAAAAAAATTATTAAATTGTAAAAAAAAAAAAAAAAAAAAAAAAAAAAAAAAAAAAAAAAAAAAAAACATGAAAATCTTTCCATGTACTCATGACTTTCTTTCTATATAAGAGCACAAATCAATTAACCCTTTGCTTACTGTATACTATGTTGTACTATCACATGTAGTCCAGACGTGTGCAAAAGTTTAATATGTCATGCGTAGCTGACGAAAGTTTCCTACATCAGATTTTCTTAGAAAATTTGAAAAAAAAAATAAAATAAGGAGTACAAATACCTCAATAGTTGAAACTTTAGAAAAACAATATTTATTGCATATTTCTTTCATTTTAGAATGAATAAGTTTCACAAAGTTTATTTTTTAATCGCTAAATGCTTATTCATTAATTTAGTTCACTAGTGGGCTGCGCCCCCTGCTCGCTAACGCTCGCCATCCCCTGAAAATTGTTACGCAATCTTATATGGATTGGTTCACAAACCGAGCTCGTTTTGCTCGCTACTAACGTAGGTGCATTGTAAATGCACAAAATTCTAAGAATTCAAAACAATCATTCAAATCCATATAACAACTTTGTCTTTTTTTAAAAATTGTATCGTTTTAGCCAATACTGAGTCATTTAAATAAATTTGAATTCAAACAAAGACTAATTGACTGAGACTCATTTTTCAATGAATACCTAATAACAATAATAGAACAAATAAATTCGTGATATAAATCAAAAATCGTCAAATAAATTTGTAATATATAAATTCGAGAAAAAAAGCTCTTTCGACAAAATACTAAAATAGAGATCTATCGACAAAGACTACTCACTTCTGCCTAGCTTAATAGTATGAGATTNATTCTCTGAAAGTTTACCTTATTTTTTATCGTTTAAAAAAATATCAAAAACGAGTAAAACTCTCGCACCCTTTCCCATTATGTAATACCTATTTTATAGCTTGGTGGGTATTCGCGATTTACCATAAAAAGTCATCTGTAATATATTTTTAAAAAACACCGTAATATCTTTTAAAGCTACTTGTACTTGTTTGCCTAGCTGATAATTATTATATATCTGTTTTAGTGATCACATGACATTTATCATTTATATTCATTGACTTATATTTTTACATCAATTAAGCTCAAAAATAAGGTAGTTTATGCCTCGTTTGCACTGACGATTCTCTGAAAGTTTACCTTATTTTTTATCGTTTAAAAAAATATCAAAAACGAGTAAAACTCTCGCACCCTTTCCCATTATGTAATACCTATTTTATAGCTTGGTGGGTATTCGCGATTTACCATAAAAAGTCATCTGTAATATATTTTTAAAAAACACCGTAATATCTTTTAAAGCTACTTGTACTTGTTTGCCTAGCTGATAATTATTATATATCTGTTTTAGTGATCACATGACATTTATCATTTATATTCATTGACTTATATTTTTACATCAATTAAGCTCAAAAATAAGGTAGTTTATGCCTCGTTTGCACTGACGATTCTCTGAAAGTTTACCTTATTTTTTATCGTTTAAAAAAATATCAAAAACGAGTAAAACTCTCGCACCCTTTCCCATTATGTAATACCTATTTTATAGCTTGGTGGGTATTCGCGATTTACCATAAAAAGTCATCTGTAATATATTTTTAAAAAACACCGTAATATCTTTTAAAGCTACTTGTACTTGTTTGCCTAGCTGATAATTATTATATATCTGTTTTAGTGATCACATGACATTTATCATTTATATTCATTGACTTATATTTTTACATCAATTAAGCTCAAAAATAAGGTAGTTTATGCCTCGTTTGCACTGACGATTCTCTGAAAGTTTACCTTATTTTTTATCGTTTAAAAAAATATCAAAAACGAGTAAAACTCTCGCACCCTTTCCCATTATGTAATACCTATTTTACAGCTTGGTGGGTATTTTATTTTTAATATTGATTATTCTTTCATATTTTTGTTTATAATTTTTTTTAAATTTGAGCAATTAAGTCCTATAAGATTTGTTACACAACTGAAGATAATTAGAGAGCAGAAATTAAACTATAACATGAGGACTGAATACGTCGGAAATTATTTTTTTAAATATGAATTAAATATATTAAAATGCAAACTACATTTATTATGAATTATAGTTAAACTTTTTTAATTCCTATTTACGATAAGAATATTTGTATTTGCAATTACATGTATCTGATTATTTTGTATTCAGATGTGTTAGAATCTGATGACTTTCAGCGGTTACAATATTAATTTCTTCAAATGTCCAATTCAAGTGTCAAATCTTATTTTCTCCTACATAACCATAAAAAAATATATTTATAAATTAATTAGTTATCATGAAAAATACTAATATTACTTAATCGAGAAAGCATGTCTTGCATAAATATTATAATAAATGTAACAAAACCACATAAAATAATTCAATACTATTATCAATACACTTCATAAAATATTGATTGCATGAATATAAAAGCCTTCAGGACTTTAAAATCCCAAGAAAATATCTACTAATTATAAAAATTTAATTAAAGTTTTATGTTAACGCTTTGCTTTATATCTCTTTAAAAATAGAACGAAATCAATAACAAAATATAAAGGACTTGCTTGCGAAATTTATCTAGACAAAAATATGATAATTGAAGAACAAACATTGATAATAAATTGGCCAATTCAAATAAAATATGAACAATTAAATAATTCCTTCGGCCATATTCCTTTTCAATTATTGTTGCCAATTAGTAATTATAATTAGATATCTGAAGTTGACGTCCTCGAAAGTAAATCGTGGCATTTTTCGCTTCAGGAGCCAATCAGGTTCGACTTACACGCATGACGCCAATTACAAATTTCCAATTAAATATAATTTAAATTACATGATTTAAATCACTTCACTTTTTCTCCAATTGCAAGCATCTAATTGGAAAGGTATATTTCAGGAATAGATTGGCAAGTCCTATAGGATATTTTGTAACGCTTCATTGCTATATGGAAATATTATAAATGGGACTTAAAAGATTTGTCAGTGCATGAAGAGTTAAATTAAGCATCATGGATATTAGAAACAGGGTATTATGCTAATAAGAAAAAAAATATTTCAAAAATATAAATTGGACTTTTCGGATTTTTTACTAAATACTCTGCGACATTTAATTATTTATTTATTTTACAATACAACTTTAAAATACTTAAATATAGTTTACCTGTTACTATTACCCTGGCATAGTTCATACTAATTTTCTTTTCATTAGTAACCGAATTTTGTGTGTAACATCTGAAACTTAATGAATCACTATGATCTGAAGTGTCTAAAATGTACAAATCTCCGTTTTCCATCATGCCATATTTTCCTAGAAAAAAATGAATGAACATTTAAAATCTAAAATTAACATTTCATAAGTGACATTATAACTAATATCATGTAAAAGAATATAAATAATAATACTTATACTAAAGCTACTAACTTGTCTATATCATAAAAAAAACTAATATTTAATTGTAGTTATACCCTATTGTCAATTGAAAAATGTTTATTTTATCTCGTTTCATTATAAAATAATGAAAAAGACCTTGATTTAACAGTAAATTTACAATAAAATAAATATGGTCTTATTATGTCTGATAAATTATGTTAAATGCGGTGAAATTCGGTAATTCCATCAATTCCACTCCTTAGAACATGGCATTAAAACCATTTATTCTTTTAAATTTACAGCAATTTTGTAATTTCTTTCCAAGTATGTGGTAATAAGAACTATAACAAACTAAACAAGTGTAGTAATCAGAACTAACCCGAACTAAACAAGTGTAGTAATATGAACTATAACATACTAAACAAGTGTACTAATAAGAACTATAAGAACTAAGACAAACCGTAACCATATAAACGAATAAATTAGCAAATGAATGGTTTAAATACAGTTTATTTCGAGTTTAATTACTAAAATTGTATTTAGTTTTGTTTTTTTTTAGAAATATATTTACTATACAGTTCGGTAATTTTTCCAGAACATTTTTATCTGTATATGATCATTAATTGAGTGATTTAAATTTAAATGTTCCTCAAATACCTGAAAACAAATGTCATTGTTCATCATAATGCTAAACATTTAATTTTAATGCAAAAAGCGTCATCGATAAATTTTATAACATTTTATTGTCGTAGGGGGGTGAAAAAAATATAAACAAAATATGAGAGTTACGAATTTAATTAAAATAATCCACTTTCACTTATAAAAGATTCACATTACACTTAAAAATATTCTAAATTAAAAATATTTATAATAGAAACGTAAAAACGCATATCATTTATAAAACACGTACCATTCACAAAAGCTGAAGAAATCATTAAACCATCAAATCTTTCCCATGATACAGTTCTAACATAATCGCTGACAGAGTTTGGAATTGGACAATGGATGAGTGCCATATTTCCTCTTAAAATGAATTCATCAAATAGTCGTATTTCATAACTCTGGAACACAACTAAAAGCAGATGAAAATTTATACATTAGAAGAAGAAAAAAATTATATTTCATCATTGAAAATTTAAAGTAACAGCAACATTTGCAGGAACAACGCTTTATTTCCTAAACAAAGCGTATTAATTCATTTTATATTAATTAACAACATTCATTGATGGGTGGCAAATACAAATGCGTGCTTTTTAACCATGAGGTGCAAATTTTAGGACCATGTTTAATATAACCAGATAAAAATGAAGTTAATTGAAACAAATCACAAAGGAAATATTGTATTTATAACTTTCCCGAAAAAGTTACGGTCATGCCATTATAACCGTTGCATATTGCCTACCATTTATATTTTCCCTATTTCACTCGTTCTATTGGTCCTTTTATTTAATCCTTATTAACCTCTCCTTAAAAAAATTAATAAGTTTATTAATTTTAATTCATTTTTGGAAGGAACTAATTATTGCACATAACTAATGCCATAACTCTATTCGCAATCCTTCTTTTTTCAAACACACTAAACATTAGCGTATACGTAAATAGTTTTATTTCAATTTCTCGTGAACGTCTTTCGCCTTAAATCTTCAGCCAAATAATATAAAAAATTAATATAAGATACCGTGGGGTTGGCTGAATTGGCTTGACTTTGGGCAGTGACTTTGCTCGATAACGCGCATAGAAAGGATTTCTTCTGTACTTCGAAGTGCCCCCTGAGTAATTCAATATTGACTTGAAGGATTGATTGAAGGATGACTTTCTTAATTGGCTTAGGATCAGGCCACCCATGGCCTATATCTAATTACATTATTATTTAGAATTTATTATTTTACTTGAAATAAATATTATTTTTTATTTCGCACAATGAGCTCTACTACTAAACAATGTTTTATTTTGATTATTATCCACCTTCACCATCTACTTCAATTAGACATCTACCACAACTTCTATTATTTCTCTCATAGTAAGAATTTGCTAATAATTATTAAATTTTCAATTCTAGAAATATTTTAAAAATTATCAGCCAAAATCAATTCAGATGGATATTTTCTTTCAACTTTAGTTTCTTGTAATTTGATATAACTTTATATTACCTCATGGTTATGAACTATAATTAGATACGATTTACCATAATTATTAATAATAAAATTATTAAATGAAATTGAATTTAATATTATATACATTCTCAACTTATAAAACTACTGCGTAATAACCTAGTTTCTAAATATTTGCCATATTTAATTCATTGAAAAATTGGATTACATTTGTAGTTAAAGAATTAGGGAAATAAGGTGCTATAAGACATTCTAAAAGCGAATTTTTCTTTTCTGTTTAAAACCATGTTAAGTTAATTTAAATATAAAGAATATTAAACAATTACAGTTTTTATATAGAAATGTGTATTGTTAATAATGAATAAATGTGCATTTTTTAGAGCTGGTGTTTCTAAATTAACTAAACAGGCACTATGATTCTTCTTCTAAAATGTAAACAATTTTAAACATAATTTCTAATAAAACATTAAAAACATTTAAAAATTAAATACATTAGTTAAAATTCTTCTCTTTTATTACTTCATAATTCAAAGAATTATGAAGTCATAAAAAAAAGAATTTAGAATAAAAGAGAAGAATTTTGATTTGCATAAAATCTTCAATATGAAGATTTTCGACAAATCAAATTCTAATCAATGAAGACGCGGATCATCATATAAAAATATCTTACTAGAATAATTTCGTTGTCAGCATCAAGAAACTACATATAGCTCGATCTTTTTTTTCCCTTCATTTTTGTTGAAATGGACTCAATATCTCTATAAATATATTTATATTTCCCATTTCTAGGAGTAAGAAACAGATTCTAAATAAAAAGATATTTCTTTCTTGTTGAAATAAAAAGAGAATACCGTCTTTGCCCTCAGTACCTGGGGAATGTTTGGAAGTGGATTACACAAATCTATTCCTGCACTTTTACGTAACGAGCTTGGGACATCGGGTAAATATGGCCCCGAGATTCGCAGAAATCCGGAATTCCTGTATTTGAAAGAAAATGTTCAAGGACGTGATTCTCTCTTATAGTGAAAATGGTACAAGATTAGATATGTGGGACTTTTTATTTATTTCTTTTATTTTTGTAATTCATGTTAAATATATTATTTATTATTTTTTAAAAGATGATCTTTTCTCTAGTTTGCTACGAATCCCTAGCTAACTTTGTCTTGCTTGTACAAATGTAACATATAACGTAATTGCTTTATTTTTGCAATATATATATATATATATATATATATATATATATATTTGTNCTGTCTTGATGCAGTTTACTTTAATTATTCCATTTTTTATTATTACTGTATATATATGTAAATGCCTTGGTTACCATTAATAAAGTCAATCAAGACATTTAATGATATGCTTATTCTTTAATGATAACATGAGTCACACAGACTCTTAAATAATTATGATCGAACCGCACAGATTCCCAGTTTCACACAGAAACAAACTTCAATTAACTAATAAACATAGTCACATAGACTTTAATCACTAAGATTATCAGTTTCACTTAGATTAGATTATCAGTTTCACTGCTTCAACAGACAATTCCAACTGACTAACTCCTCATTTGAATCGAGAAAGTTCTATACATTTCCTTCAGACGAGCGACATCTGGCGGGATAACATAGAGGCTGTTGTCTCGCTTATTACATATATATATATACCGAGTAGCCATTACGTTATGACCACCCTGCTAATAACATGTAGGACCACCTTTAACCCTCAAAACTGCTAGCACCCAATGTGGCATTGATTCCACAAGGTGCTGATAGGTAGTCTGAGATATCTGGTACCAAGCGCTCAACAACTGGTCCTGCAATTCCCTCACATTGCGAGGGGGTAGCGTTGCAGCATGAATCTGGTTTTCCAAGTAGGACCGCAAATGCTCTATTGGATTAAGGTCAGGTGAATTTGGGGGCCAAGACATGACTTGAAAGTCACTGGAGTGTTCCTCGAACCAATCCATGACGATTCGACCCTTATGACATGGTGCATTATCCTGTTGGTAAACACCATCCCCCGCAGGAATAACTTTTGCCATGACGTCAGGGATTTTTCTATGAGGATTATGGGTCCATATGTGCCCCATGAAAACAATGTTCCTGGGCGAGAAACCATGAAACCCTGGGTGAGCCCATTGTTATAGGTGGAGGGTGGTCATAATGTAATGGCTCTTCGGTATATATATATATATATACATATATATGTATGTATTTAACATTGTGCAAAAAGCCAAATCATGCAAAATCGAAGTGCTTTATTATAAATACGGAGAAAAATCTTGCAAGCAAATTCACAATGTCGTTAATAAAGTCACAAGGTAAAAAAATAAATAATAGGAATGTATTATAATTTCAGATATTATTTAATTGATTAAACATTTCAAATATACAACATGAGTTAATCTTATGAATTTATATTTAACTGACGGAAAAATTCCATTTTATATATTTTGAGAACAGTTAGAATTTTAGGTTTTCGAAGTAAGTGTAGTTTTATTTTCGAAACTAAACACATGAATCTTGATTCAAAATATGCATTAATTGATGCAAAATGACTCCCATTAATAATTTCAGTAAGAAGTAACTGAACAGTGAGTAAAAATTTTTAAGTATATGTCCAAAAAAAACCATAGCTAAAAAGCAATATAATGTTTTTATCTTACTTGAATAACATTGTAGTTACATGATTTAAATTTAGTTTTGTTGCAACTTAAATTTGAATAAACAGTTAGCAGCATTTAAAATTTAAAGTCTCCAAGTTTTTTCGATAGCTCTCCATCGTTGTTTTTTAAAAAGTACATTTTGAGCAAAATATCTAAAAAGAGTTAAAAATAAAACTTTTAAATTTCTTTAAAATTTAAAGACAAATAATTTCTTAAAATTTTTTTTACTAATTGTTTTCAATCAAGGAAATTATAGAATTGGAATTAATTTATTAACGGAAAATATTTAATTGTAATATGTTAAACTGTAGCATGTTGAACTTTTAAAACACTTTTAATCTTAATATCTGTTATTTTTTAAGAATTTATCCGTGCTTTAAAATATATTTTTATAATACGTATTTCAAAACAGTTTTCCTTAACAAAGATTATTTTTCAAGAAAATAAATTTTATTTTTCAATCTTCAAGCGAAACGTGCCATAATAACTTCCAAACGATTTTAGTAACTCTTTTTTTAACTATGAAAAAATCACCAACAATTCGAAGACATTTTAAGCTGAATTGTTCTTGAAATGTTGGACAAAGCTATCACTTACAAAATTATTTCTTTGCGTTATAAATCAGCCATGTGGAAAGCGAGAAGCCGTATCAGCTCCCTTAATAAAGAGAATGCTTCCTTGATAAATATCTTTAACAACTAAAATGCAGAAAAACTGACTTTCATCACTTTTCTTCTACGTAATAACCTATTTTACCAAACTGAGTTCGCCATTTTCTTTAACGTCTTTTTTCTTTGTCAATTCTGGATTCACTATAGTGGGGCATATTTGTCCACTTCCAGAGTGGTTAAGGCTGCAGAGATGAGATAGCCCAGAGGAGAAAGAAAGAGATTTTTTTTTTCGGAGAACTTCTCTGTAATAGTTGATTACATGCAGCTGACCCAAAGGGAAAAAGAAATCCGAATATATTCTATACCTAAAAAAAGCCCTATATCCACATATAGGGCCCGTTATAAATAAAATCTTTACTTATTCTGTGTGGTATTGCTTAAAGATTGAATATTACTTATTACACAAAAATATCACTTATTAAATAAGTATAATTTTGTATTATTTTTAATGCTCAGCTTTTCCTTTAAATTCTTAGAAGTTAATGTTTATAATCATTTTATTTTATTTTTAATTATTTATGTCTATAATCATTTTATTTGCGTTCTTCAAATATATAAAACCATTAAAAAGTAAGTAATTAAATTACATCCAATTATTCAACTCAAAAAAATTTAGTTTGAAAAA